ATACCAACCATTAGAACACACAGCCGGAACATGCACCTACCGGAAGCAGCAAAAACCAGACCATATATAATTTTGAACTGGCACAAGACAACAGTGCATCACAGGAGGGTCCACAGCACTGAGGATGTCACCTAGAAGGGGATGAAACGTCTGCTATCAAACCTCCCAGCTCGGCGAATACACCAACATCTAAAACCAGCACTGAGCTACAAATCTTTACTCAAACCCTGATCATCTCAGCTTACTTCAGAGGGTTCCAGCAGCACAGGTGTTGTTGGTGGTCAGTTAGCTCAATTGGCTGGACAGCTGGTTTGCCATGCAGAGTGACACCAACTGCGTAAGTCTGTCTTCGCACACCAGCTTAGGTTACCATGAAGGTCCTGATTTCTCAACTTTGCCCTCATCTGAGATTTGGTGACCCTCAGGTTGAACGCGCAACCAGTCACCTCTCTCTCATTAGACAGCAGCCCTATGGTCCTCAAGGACTAAAGTGACTTACGTTCTTCAGCTATTGCGATTCATTCCACTTGATAGCAAGAAATGGCTAAGTCACTGGACACTGTAAAAGTTATGGGCGCTGGCAATATTCTGTCAATAATGCGAAAGAAGTGCTCCAGAACTTGCTGCATGCCTGGCCAAGCATACAACAACAATATTGGTATCTACCTGGCAATATGGAAAATGGCTCAGGTTTGATTTGCCATAAAAAACGCAGATACCACCTGGTCAAGTATTGGCTTATCAGTGTACTCTCTATCATCACTAAAGTGATGGAAGGGGTCATCAACTATGCTATGAAGTGGCACCTGCTTAGCAAAAAGCTGCTTACTCATGCTAAGTTTGGGTTCTACCAGGGCCACTCAGCCCCTCACCTTAGTACAGCCTTACTTCAAACACAGACAAAAGAACTGACAGCAGAGGTGAGTTGAGAGTGACTGCCCTTGACATCAAGGCAGAAATACTCCATGTGGTATCAGGAGCCCTAGCCAAACTAGAGTAAATGGGAATCAGGCAGAAAACTCTCCCTTGTTTGGAATCATACCTAGGACAGAAGAAGATTGCTGTGGTTATTGGAGGTCAGTCAGCTCAGACTAAGAACATTGCTGCAGGAGTTCCTCAAAGTAGTACAGTAAGCCTAAACATTTCAGTTGCTTGGTCCATAACCATTCCTCCATCATAAGATCAGAGTGAGGATGTTAACTGACGATCGCACGATGTTCAACATCATTCGCAACTCCTCAGAAACTGAAGCATTCAAAATGCAGCAAGACCTGGACAATATCCAACTTTGGCTGACAAGTGACAAATAAAATATGCCCTACTCTAGTGTCAAGCAATGACCATTTCCAACAGGAGAGAATCTATCCGTTGCCCTTTGACATTCAATGACATTAACATCACTGAATACTCCACTATCAATGCCAGGAAACTCAACTGCACTATCCATATAAAGGGGCTTTTGTGGCGCTGTGGTAGTCTCCCTTCCTCTGGGCTAGGGGTTCCGTGTTTAAGTACTACTTGCCACAAAGGTGTCTCAAATCATGCCCAAACTATTTCAAAACACTTATAAATGATGTGGTTACAATAGCAGGTCAGAGGTTAGGAATCCTGCAACGAGTAACTTTTCTCTCGCAGAAATGGAATATTCCCCATTTGTCTTTATGTGTGCAGCACCAACAGCATTCAAGATGATTGACACCATCCAAATATTCAAAGCACAAGTATTCACCACCTCCACTAGTGATGCACAGTAACAGCAGTGTAAAATATTTAATTCACCAAAGATCCTTAAACAGCACTTTCCAAACCCATGGTCACTATTATCTAGGAGGACAAGGGTAGCAGGTATAAAGGAACATGACTACCTGCAAGGTCCTCTACAGGCCACTCAACATACTGACTCGGAAATATATTTCCACTCTTTCACTATCACTGATTCAAAATCATGGAGCTCACTCCCTACATCATTGTGGGTGTACCTACACCAAATGGGCTGCAGCAGTTTAAGAAAAAAGCTCACCACCAACTTCTCAAATACAATTAGGGATGGGCAATAAATGCTGGCATAACCAGTGAAATCCCGCGAATGAATTACAAGGAAAAATAAGTAAGTCCTAAGAAATGGAACAAACAAAATTAGTAGGAAAAAAAAAACTCACATACAGTTTAACTAAGATACTTAACCGAAATAAAGATGTATACAAATTATATTGTCTGCAATTCTTATGTAAATAGTTAAATAGTTAATGGGAATAGGTGGTTCTCTCTCCATTGGATGGAGTCGTACCTAGCACAAAGAAAGACGGTTGTGGTTGCTGGAGATCAGTCATCTCAGCTCTAGAACATTTCTGCAGGAGTTTCTCAAAGTAGTTCCCGAGGCCCGACAATTTTCAGCTCTTCAAAAAACACCTTCCCTCTATCATAAGGTCAGAAGATGGGATATTCTCTGCATGACTGCAAAATGGTCAGCATCATTCACAACCCCTGATACACTGAAGCAATCCATGTCCAAAGACCCAGACAGTATCCAGATTTGGGTTGCCAAGTAACATGGATGCCACACTGTTCCAGGCAATAACCATCTCCATCGAGAAAATCAATGCATAGCTTCTCGAAATTTAATGGCACTACCATTGCTGAATCCATCACTATTAACATCTTGGTGTTACCATTGACCAGAAACTGAACTGTATTAGCCGTGTAGGCCTGTGGCTACAAGAACAGGTCCGAAACTAGGTATCCGGAAATGAGTAACTCAACTCTGTACTCCCCAAAGCTTCTCCATCATCTACAAGGCACAAGTGAGGATTGTAATGGTATAGTCCCCACCATGTGAATAACTAAATCTTGAAAAACATTCAAGAAGCTTTACACCATTCAGGACAATGTAGCCAGTTTGATTGGCACCACATCCTCAATTATTCACTCCTTCCACTATCAAGACATAGTAGCAGAAACGTGTACCATAACAGCACGAGATGAAGAAGCAGAATAGGCCATTCAGTCCATCAAGTCTGCTCCACCATTCAATGAGATCATTGCAAATCTGATAATCCCCAATTCAATTTTCCAGCTTTTTCCCTGATAACCCTCGATTCCCTTACTGATTAAAAATCTGTGTATCTCAGCCTTGGATATACAGCCTCTACATTTCTCTGTGGTAAAGAATTCCAAAATTCAATACCCTCTGAGAGAGTCCTCCACATCTCTGTCCTAAATTGGCAATCCCTCATTCTGAGATTACGCCCTCTGGTCCCAAACTCTCCCATAAGGGAAAACATCTCTGCATTCACCATGTCAAGTCGCCTAAGAATCTGGTATGTTTCACTATTGTCACCTCTATTTCGTCTTATTTCCAATGAATACAGGCCGAACCTACCTACCAATCTACTCAACTTCTCATTATAAGACAGTCCCTCCATACCTAGGATCAGGCTAGACAACTGTCTTTGGACTACCTTCAATGCCAGTATATCTTTTGTTCAAAAAGTATCTGCTACTGTTCACAGTATTCCAGCAGTGGTCTGACTAGTGCCTTGTATAGTTATAGCAAAACCTCCTTATTTTTGTACTCAATTCTCTTTGAAATAAAGGCCAACATTCATTTGCTTTCCCTTTCACTTGCTGACCTTGTAAGCTAGCTTTTTGTGATTTATGCACGTGGACGCCCAAATCCTTTGGCGCATTAGCTTTTTGCAATCATTCTCCATTTAAGTAATATTTAACTTCTTTATTCTTCCTCACAAAGTGCATGACCTAATTTTCTCACATGACATTCCATTTGTCAGATCTCTGCCTACTCACTTAACCTGTCTATATTCTTTTGCAGACTGTGTCATCATTGTTTATGCCTTCCCATCCAGTTTCATGTCATTCACAAACTTAGCTATGGTACATTCACCTCCCTTATCCAAGCTATTAATACATATTACAGACAACCATGGCCCAAGCACTGATCCATCGCACTCAACTACTTTCAGGTTGCCATCTTGAAAATGCCCCCTTTATCCCATCTCTCTGTTTTGTGTTAGTTAGCCAATCCTCTATCCATGCTAATAAACTACCTCCAACACCATGGTTTCCTATTACGTAATCTAACATGTACAGCCTTATTAAATGTTTTCTGGAAATCCAGATATATTACATCCACTTCTTCCCCTTTATCTATCCTACTTTCTACCTTCTCAAAGAATTCTAATAAATTTGTGAGATATGATTTCCCCTTCACAAAGTCACATTGACTCTGCTTGATCATAGTGTGTATTTCTAAAATCTCTGCTATTACATCCTTTATAACAGATTCTAATATTCTTCCCAGAACAGATCTATAGTTACTTGTTTTTGTCTCCTCACCTTTTGGAATATAGATATCACATTGGCAGTTTCCAATCCTCCAAGACTTTTTGAGAATCAATGGATTCTTGGAAGATTACCACCAATTTATCCACTACCTTTACAGCTACTTCCTTTAATAGCCTAGGATGTATCCCATCAGGTGTAGGGGACTTATATGTCTTTAGACCCATTAGTTTCCCCAAGCACATTTTTTCTTGCAGTGAGTAATTGTATTTATTTCCTCTTCCTTCTTTCCCCTTGATGATTTAGTGTTTTTAAATGCTATTAGTGTTTTCTACATAAAGACTAATGAAAAGTATTTATTCAACTCCTCTGCCACTTCATGGTTTCCCTTTATTATTTCTCGTACCTCATTCACTAAGGGGCATATATTCACTTTAGCCTCTTTCTTCCTCTACATATATTGAAAGAATCTCTTGCTATTCATCTTGATATTACTTGCAAATTTACTGTCAAATTTTATATTGTTCCTCTTTGTTTTATTTTTGGTCATCTTTTGTTGGTTTTCGAAACTGCCCCAATCATCTGGCTTACCAATAACGTTTGCCACATTGAATATTTTTTTCTTTCAATTTGATGCAATCTTTATCATACTCTACCATGTTATGGTCACTGCTTTCTAGGGATATTTTACTCTGACATCATTTATTAAATCTAGTTCATTACACACCACCAGATTCAAAATAACTGAGTCAAAATCTTGGAACTCACTCCCTAATAATGTTGTGGGTGATTGTTGTACCCAAACAAAAAAGACTGCAGTGTTTCAAGAAGGCACTTCACCACTACCTTCTCAAGAGCAACAAGGATAGCCCTCAATCCCAAAGCCACATCCCATGAATGAAAACAAAAGCCAGTGCAAATATAGAAATTCCAAGCAGAAAATCACATTATGGAGAGCAAAGACTTTATTGCTATCATAAATTGGTGTTTCTACCTTGAAGGTAACCACATCCTCAAAATTGTTTTTGATTTTCTTTAGAATTGTTGACAATTGACTTTCAATTTGTGCCATGTCAGAATAAAGCTTATCCCTCTCTTTGGACTCCCTTAATCTTGCGATCGAAGTACCCCAGTAGCCTGTAACATACAAAAACAGAAATGATATAGCATTACCACCAAATTATTCTTGAAGGGGTGAACTTATTTTTGTCCAAAAATAAGGCCCTGTTCAATATTGCAATAACGACTATATTTTGCATTCCACTGAAGCTGACAGCTGTTAGTGGATCTCCAAGCACATTTATAGAGACTAGAATGCTACGCTGTTTATTGCTTGCCACAGAGCTTACATATCCACTCTAAACAAGCCCTCCTAGTCCTGTCTGGCTCTCCTTTACATACACACAGGGATATTTTTATATCACCTGGTTTAGGCATATTGCGATATACCTCTGGAGCAGGTGAGACTTAAACCCAGGCCTCTTGGCTCAGAGGTAGGGACACTACCACAAAAACCACATGAGCTTTTTTATATTAATAAAAAAGTATATACATATAATTAAGTAATCAATACCCATAATCAGTTTCTCTTAACAGTTTCAACTATTGGGTATTTAACATCTACTAACATAACCTATTAGATTCAAATGCCAGTAACGTATTGAGTCCACACATGCACAGATTAATGTGGATATCCAGATACAATCACTAATTCTAAACTCCTCCAACAAGTGTGCAATCCCCAAGAAATCAGCGAATTTACGAAAACTTCCACTTTTACGCTATTTGTTTCATTATAAAAACAACTAAAAAGTTACACCTTGTTGAGTGCAGTTTAACTAGGTTTTTACCAGTGTGCCAAGTTTGTGATCAGTGCAAAACAACCTAAGCGGCCCAGAAAAGCTGACTTTATATTTCTGCAATGTCAAATTTCTTCATTACAATAAAGAAAATTCAACATTGGTTAAAACAAAATTTATAATGTTTGTTTAGGATGATTAACCAGTGTTAATCTAACCATTCTCATATATTTAGCTATCTGAAAACTTCTGAGAAACTCAGAAGTGACTTTTATGGATTAATTGCCAAGTAGAATGTTGGTGAGTGCGATCTTCAATTTGAAGACATTGCACTTATAGAGTGTTAAGACCAAAGCACTGTTAGGGGGGACTTTGTTATTGGAAGTCCATTTGATTATGAATGATTCAGAGGATTGATTGAGGGAGATTTTGTTTAAAAGGACACTGAAAATTTCACCCTGGTGGGGTAGGGAGAAGAAGTGGAAAGAGGTTGGACTCTAAACACAAGACTATATTCTGCCGACATTGTAGTATATCTTAATGTGTAATGGGAGTTTTCAGTTTTGTTGAGAAATTAGTGGGAAATGCCTTCTCTGTAGTTTAGTGTATTAGCTGTCTACTAAGTAATATATAGTCCATGTTGATTTTAGTTTGTAACATTAAAAGCCTTAAAGTGTGAAATCTTATTGTGCAATTCATTACATTGGTCACTAGGAAGTTGTTTCTCCTTTTAAGAATTGTCATTATCTACCAGGATTTTAACAATACAAATACATTCTTTGCTACAGTAGTAAAATATTTATGTTTAGACACTTTATGACAATAATCCTGATGTTAAATGGAAGTAGAATATACAGCATTTCTTTTAGTTGAGCAATCAAAACAACCAATAACACACTAAAAAAAAATGCTCATCCTTAATCTTGTCCAAATTAAGTTTTTCACGTATGCTGTCTTTAATATTTAATTTGAAATTATTCATAAAGACAGACGATTAAACTATGACTGAATTCTTTTGCAAAACCCCACAATGCATATAAATTTTCTTAGTAAAATCTAATGTGGTCAGAAAAAAAAAAATAATTCTTGGCAAGTCATACTTACCTGACACCATTCAAAACTGTAGAACATTTAGAAATTTCAAAATACTGGATAACCAATCTTACTGAATCCTGGAATGTCATGAACACAGCATGGTTCAACAAAGCTGTGCAAATCCAGTAGGAAACCTGTTCATCACCAGATAGAACAAATCCTGTTTCTGCAGATAATTGAGGCTGCAGATGAGGCTTGTCATCATTTGGCCTTTTCAAAAGCCTACCTTTCACAAAAAATCGATTAGGGTTTGATGCAAATCTCTCAAATCGTTCAAGTTTACTCAAAATGCACTCTCTTTCTTTAATCAGTTTCACAGCAGCTTCCCAGGCCTCCAGAGCCTAAAACAAAAGAAGGAAAAGTACGCAGTTCTTACTAATACACCAAATATACGGAATTCACATATGACCAGCACAATGAATGAGAGGCAATGAGTGTGACAGTAGTTGGCTTCATTCTTTTTCAGAAAATAATTTATTTTAGATCACCACCATCCCTGCAGATACCTTAAAACATGGCCAACTCTTGCCATTTCCTACCATGAATTTAATTCTCTAATCTCACTGAGGGCACTTGTAGAACGCTCCTCTGTAGTCTTCCGAGGTTTAATAAGAATTAATTTGGTTATCTCTGAGCTAAATATGCTTGTTCAGCAAAGTAGCACTGATTTACAGAATTTAGATGAGGTTGCATGAAACAGTATTTAATTAGTGAATTTGGTAGTTGCACTGTATGGTGTTAAATTATATTATATGCATAGTCACTACGGCAGTTTCCATAGTGATAGGATACATGCTAAAAGCATTGAGGGCATACTAATTAGTTTTGGCACTTCGCACAAAAGGAAGGGTTTTGTCAAAGACATTCAACTTCCAGTGCTGAATGTGCAAATACACTAATAAAAAACTGTGCTCAAAAAAAATCACAATTTAAAATTCTGGATTACACAGTTCACAGATGTAAATCAGGTCACCACTGGACATTTTCCACAGCTTTTTACGTGGAACTGAAAGACAATGATGATGAGATTTAGAAGCACTTTAATATTAAACAGTAAAAGTTTTCATGACAATGCATACCATGTTCTAGTACCATCTTTAGGTCAGGTTTCGTTTGAATGAGAGGAAGAACTGTGCTTTAGAGCACAGGACTGAAGTGAAATTTGGGAAATTGTTTCAAGACAAACGTTAAAGCCTCTAAAGGAACAATGATGTGATGAGAGATTAAAGATGGCCTGAAGATCATGCAACAGGACAACAGGGATTCTATATTACACTGACATCAAACCTTTACAGCATGAAACGAAATTATGGATAAATTAGGTCAAGAGAGGCCTGGATTTTCGGATGGCCAGTCGTTAGGACCTTAAGAGTTTTAATTAGGGGAGTTTGTGGCTACTGGACCAGATGTGCTGAGTGTGTCCGGCCCGGAGATTGGTTTACCTTCCTCAGCCTGAACTGCTACATGCCTGATGTTGGCTACCAAGTTTCAAGGTGGAAAGCGTAATGACATCCAGACTTTTCCAAAAGGAGACTTTTCAGGTGTTTGTATGTGGCTCCTCTTCTGGCTGGACGCGTCTTTGAACAACCCTGTCTCCTTGTCAGCAAGGACCATCTGGAGTGAGGCCAAGGTGCCTCGTTCCCCTGACAGCTTGCTATTGGTGCAGAGCAATGGAGTGTAGTCTGTATACGCAACCAGCAGTCACAAAGTATACTTGACCTGCCTCTCCATGGCAGCCACCAAGCTGTCCACAGAGGAAGCACAGTACACACAGTGTAGGTAACTTCTCCAATATTCAAATCAGCTTGCCCATTGCCTTTGACAAACCTGCCTGCTCCTGTGTTTGTTTGTGTATTTTAATGAAGTTGTTAATTGCTGAGACCATGGAGTCCTCACCTGCCTGAGGATGAGCAGGTGCCTGGTCTCCAGCAATTCTCAGAGTATGCTCTCGACTCTAAGCAAGGTAAAATGAATGGAGGGAACATGTAACTGGAGGAGTAGCCAGGGCAGCAGGAAGAGAACCTATGATTGGAGAAGCTATTTTGGAGTCAGTCCTATAACAAGGAGAGTTTACTAAGGTCAAAGCAAATCAAGGGGAGCTGTCATTTTGCCTGCTTGAGCAAGGTGAGTGCCTAATGGGGCTGTGCCCTGAGTTTGAGTTGGGAAGTTGGAGTGGAGGGTGTGAAGTGTGGCAGGATGGAGCCATTCTACTGGTGGGGGAGGTCCAGTACCAAGGTGAAGAGAAACCTCTCACCCTTCCTCAGCTCCATCTTGACCAGCTTTTCGATCTGCCTCAACGTAGAAACAGAATACAGGAAGACTGATGATTCCTTCTCCATATGCCGGAGGAGACTGGCCAAGGCTGGGAGCCTGCGGCTACTCACTGAGTTTTTACCCCCAAGTAATGGTCACATAAACTTAAAGCTCATCACATATGGGATGGTAGTGGTGGTGGTGGTGGTTCGGAGCTGTGGTAGAGCTGGAAAGAGTTGGCGCAGAGGAGGTTAGCCTGGTTTTGGAGAAATTTTCTATAAACTGCAGAGTCAAAAGAAAGATGTTGTGAGAATCAACCATTTTCCAGGTATTTTATCTGGAAAACTGTATTTTATCTCTGTCATTTGATGCTGGAGGCTTAGAAATTTAAAGTTTAGGATATAGGCCAGTATCATAGGGAAAATAATATTTTAATATGTTTGGAAACAAAATATTGATCAGCTACAATGTTATAGGTCAACTTATAGTTCTAAAAGTTCAAGACAATCAACATTAATGTAGCAGAACAGAAATTTTGTGCTAATAAAATTTCACAGATAGTTAAATAATAATACAGTATCTCATCAGTAAAATACCTTACATTATATTGTGAACAAAATGTCAATTCAGGAACTTTGGATACACAAAATATCTTAGATTTTCAAAACAGTGAGGAAGCAAACTAGGGCAGAATAATCAAATAAACAGCTGAAATTCCATACAACATTTTGTGTTCATTACATTTTAGTATAAGAAATCACTAGGGTCTACAATTAAGGACACAGTGACTGATCAGCTGAACACTTTCAGTGTGTTAAGAAAAAACTTGTAACTGATGGATTATGCCTGACAAACCTCAGCACATTTTTAACAGATTAAATAAGTATCCAGGGAAATGTCTATCAATGTAAGTTATATAGACTTTCAAAAGGCATCTGATAAGTTTCTCATAAGATACTGTTTGTTAAAGTTAAAGCTTGTGGAATTGAAGGCAAATTATTGACCCAGTTAGCAAGTTATCAGTGGTAAGAGACAGAGTGGTAATGAGCAAGTGCTATAAGTGGATGGATGTGGCCAGCAAGGTTCTCTACTGGGGCTTCAATATATACAATGAAAATGAAAAATGAACCCTCAAGAAAATCTCAAAATGAACTCGATTAAAAAAAAACTTTTTTTGGTAGCCAGAATGGGTCAATTTGGTCTCCCTGCTCCAGTCTTCTCCAGTCTTACGTTTGTACAAATGGCTGAGTTGCTGAGGCATAAGCTGACTAAACATGGTTCTTTTAATCAGCTTTCTGAGAAAATCTCAGAAGCAGAAACACCACAAGATTTTATGGTGTCTTTCAGGATCACAGGTGAGGCTGGATTTGGCTGAAAAATCATGCCATGATCATGACCAATTTGCAAAAGTTGCAATTGCCTATAACTGTCAGATAAACTCAGAATAAAGAAGATGATGGATAGTGGAGATGGGACAGGGCAGCTGGTGGAAAAATCAGGTCAGATCACCAGTGGAACTGTTGATCACAAGGAAAGAATTAGTAAGTGATGCTACAAAGGCAGCCCAGCACATTAAGCCACATAAAGTGCTAAGAATGGACCTGTGGATACAGTAGAAATACTGGATGAGGCTGCCCTATCGGAGGCAGGGAGTAGACACATGATCACAGACTGGCAGGACAGAAGAGGTCATAGATGTCCAAAAGCAAGCCTCAGGAAACTGGTAAAGTAGCAAAACATTAGGAATGATAATTGTCAAAGTAATACTTAGCTCTAAGTGCTAACTGGCATACTGGAGGCCAAAAAATTTTAAACTGCTCCACAGCAACATTTCAGAGATAGTAGGAACTGCAGATGCTGGAGAATCTGAGATAATAAGGTGTAGAGCTGGATGAACACAGCAGGCCAAGCAGCATCAGAGGAGCAGGAAGGCTGACGTTTCGGACCCTTTTCTGAAGAAGGGTCTAGGCCCGAAACGTCAGCCTTCCTGCTCCTCTGGTGCTGCTTGGCCTGCTGCGTTCATCCAACTCTACACCTCGCTACCACAGCAACATTTGGTGGTTAAATCTTGTAACTGCATTGGAAGAGTTTATTAAAACACAAAATAGCAGTTATTGCATTTCACCTGTGTTTGTGGCAGGCAAGTTATGATACATTGAATGGTGAATATACTAGTTAGAGTACACCTACAGGTATTACAGATAGATACAGTCTCTAATATGGTGTGATTCTACATTGCATTGAAAAGATTAATGGCATCCATGTGTGCATGCACACGATTTAAATATAAAATAAATAAGATCATTAGCAGTCTACAGTTATTTCATTAGCAAAACCTGTATTTTGAGGTGAATAAATCGCAATTCAGATAACATTAATAACTGGTATTTTTGTAGCAACTGTATATAAATCTCTTTCTTTAAATATGCTGTCATCAACTCTCTCCTTAAAAAAAACCCCTCAACTTCACAGTCCTTCCAAACTTCAGCTCCATCTAAAACATCCCATTACTCTGCAAAATTGTTGAATGTGCTGTCGCTGCCCAAATCTACGCTTATATTTCCTGAGTTTCTACATCCGAATTCACCTCATCAGATTTCCAGCTGTGCCACAATACCAAAACGGCTCTTACCAAGACCATAAGTAATTTCAAGTATAACTGTGACAAAGGTAAACTTTCCCTGCTCATCCTTCTGACCCATTTGCAGTCTTTGACATATTAACGACACCATCCTCCTCCAACACTTTGTCACTGCCATCCAGCTGAATGGGACTGCTCTCATCAAGTTCCAATCTTATCTAATTGTATCCAGAGTTTCCATTGCAATGATTTATCATCCTGCTCCCACACCATCATTTCTGCAGTTGACTCCTTGATATGCTGCTATTTCTCAACCAAAAGAAGACAGCATTAGTTTCATACACATGTTGATAAAACCTAGCTCAATCTCACCATTATTTCTCAAAGCACTTCCACTGTTACTAAATGATTAATATTGACAATGTCTTAATTTTAAAATTCTCATCCTTGTTTTCAAATCCCTTCTTGGTTTTGTCCTTTCCTATCTCTGTAATCCCCTTGAGTCCCACAACCCTCCAAGATATCTGAGCATCTTCAGCATCCTCGATTTTATTTTTGTTCCATTGTTGCTGGACATAGTTTAGTTGCCAAGTCCCCAAACTCTGGAATTCACTTTCTATATCACTCCACCTCATTATTTTGCTTTGATCTTTATAGACATCCTTAAAATCTATCCTTACAACCAAGGTCTTATGCATCTGGCCTGTAGTTTGGTGTCTTAATTTGTTTTACAGTGCTACTCTGAAATATCTTGATGTTTTATTAAATATATAATACATAGTTGTCGTAAAATTAAAAATGTCAAGGCACTGAACAAAGTCTCAATAGCCCAAACAGTTTTGGATGCATTGAGACGGACTGCAATTTGGTTAAGTATTGAATTGGATCCAGGTTTTTAATAAATGCTTAAAAAGGTGCAAAAATTTGTTACCAAATCCCAGAAATCTCAGTTGCAATCAGATTACTTCATCATATGTGGTACCAAAACTTTGAGGTGAAAATCTCCAACAACAGATTATTCACATTATCGTATTAGGGTTTTGGGAGACTAGAGTAAACCTGTGATGATATCACAGAGTTGCTCCTCACTGAGCATTAACATTGTGAGTGGAGTTACAGAGGATCAAGAGAAAAACACACGGAGAGCTAGGCAGAAGCCTGAAACCTAACCATGAGAATGGTAGAAACATGTCGAGAGAAGCTTGTGGAACAGACTGACAAGCATAGGTCATTGAATTTATGCAATAGTCTTATAATAATGTCAGAAAGATTAGAGCCTGGTATACGTCTGAATACCATTTATTGTAGCATTTAATTTTGGTCTGTAATAAATAGTACTATAAAGAGTTACAAATCTGAAGATAGTTCTTGACCTTGCCTTTTCCTCGACCACATTAAACCACGCAACAAAATGCACAAATCTAGGACATTATGTGTGTCAGTCTTTTTCAGGGGATACAGAGCTTTGCAAATTAGCATTAGAAAGTTTCAGCAGATGTACCTTAGAAGTGCCGAGTGATGTTTCACTATACAACTATCAAAAGCTTGATAACGTGCAAATTTCCTTCAAACAAAAATGTATGTACACTATATTTATGGTAAAAGATGCTGTACCAATTTAAACCTATTCCATCCATATACCTTTGAAACACGAACTTTGTGTTTAAAAGAACTGTATTTAATAGCCATATCAAGACGTTCCGAATCAGGGACGTGCAGAGTGGTCCAAATACGTTGCAGTCTGTTCTGGATCTCCTCTAGATCTTCTTGGTAAGGTTTCTTCCCAAGCCGTTTCTGAACCTGTACATAGTCCTATTAATGGAAGGAATAAAAGAAATGCAGTAGAGGTTGTCCTTTTTGTTTTAAACACGCACTTGATGCATTTTTATAAAAGAAACCACAAAACTCTCCATTCAAAAGCTTAGGTTTATCTATTATGTCCCATTCTGAGCCATTTGGTACTGTGATTTAGTTGATAGTATTTTTGGCTTGCTTATAGGAGATACACAGCATTCATTGCTGCAGGGACTTTGGCAAAAGTCTGGATTGAATGGGACAGGACAAGTTCTTCTGATATTCCTTCCTGTGAGGAATCACTGGTGACGTGGTTGAGATTGCAAATTCAGAAGGCAATGGCTCAACATGAAGTTACTATATATGGAGTGAAAAAGAAACAATCAGAAATAGTTATAAAGTCAAAAGGATTTCAGAAAGGAAAATCATATCTAATAAACTGGATGAATGTTCTTTTAACAGATATAATAGGTAGAAAAAATTCAATCAATATGATGTGCATGATTTTTCACACAGGAGGCTACATTGACGAAAATTAAATGCATAATTAGAAAATGATGGAAAATAGGATGAAAACCTGGATAGGAGGAGGAAAAAAGGGTAGGAGGGAGTATTGGGAGCACTGTGAAGCATACCAAAGGTTTTGGTTCTGAACCTTTTTGTTTCATTGTTACATTAACGATTTAGAAGTTCAACCAGAAACTATGTTTGCAGACAATATTCAGTTTTTAAAGAGGCAATGTAAATTATTCTGAAGACTAAAGGGAGGTGCAACATAATATTGATAAGAAGCAATTATTAAACAATAGGAGGTTGAATGAAATTGCTCCACAGAACTTGTCTTCATTCATCTAAAACCATAGCTTGCTAACAACTATCTATGTAGGCTCACACATGGAGGATATCCACTTTATCTAAGTACCAGACAGTGATCACTGCCCTTAAAACCTACACCTAGCAATATTCTGCAACATTGGGAAGGCACATGGCGAGAAGAATTCTCACTCAGCTTTGGAGGTGATAGGTCAAGTTAAGAATGTTTTCAAAAGTGTACATGACTTTATTATTAGGGGAATCCATATTGCAAGGGAGTTATGTCAAAACATTATAAGGTCAAGCCTGGACTGGGATACTGTGCCAAATTACATGCACCACATGTTGAAAAGAAAGTCAAGGCTGTGGAGAGGATGCAGCAGAGATTTACTCGAATAATACCAGGGATGAAGGATTTCAGTCATGTGGAAAGGCGAAGAAGTTGCAGTTGTTCTCCTTATGTCTATGAAGGTTAAGAGAAGACTTGATAGAAACATTCAAAATTGTGAAAGGTTTTGATTGAATAAATGAGGAGAACCTTTCTAGTGACAGAGGGTCTGTAACCAGAAGACACAGATGACAGGGGAGTCATTGTATGGTTCCTTTAAAGATCCTTAAAGATACATAGTTCCTTTAGAGGTCCTTCTGTACGGTTTGATTTTATTTTATAGACATATAACATGATATGGGGATCTGAACAGGGTTATGGAGTTATGACAATTGCTCACTCAGCAAACAAATATCAAAACATACTGGTTAAGTCTGATGCCTGTTTTGATGTTATTTCTTTGTAATTCTGAGAAATAGCATTCCCAGAGTGCATCAAGTGCAGTGTGTAGTGCCAAACAAATCTACTTCTTCAGTCACCTTCTCCATTACAAAGTATAACCAAAATTCTTTCCAACTTTACAGCTCCTTGATAAAAAAAAGTCAGAGCTGCCTAAAATTAACTGTTAATAAAATCAAAGACAACAATGTCCAAATTTATCAGCAAAGACAATACACGTAGTAACTATCTCTAGCAATTACATCTGAATGCAAACAATAACTTTGAGCAAATAAAAACTAAAAGAACTGCAGATGCTGTGAATCAGAAACAAAAACAGAAATTGCTTGAAAAGCTCAACAGGTCTGGCAGTATCTGTGGAGGGAAATCAGAGTTAACGCTTCAGGTCCAGTGACCTATCCTCAGAACGTTCTGAATACCTTTGAGCAATTGTGTATCTAGCTGAGCGTACAGACATTTTCTAATTAACTTATTCAGAGATGTTAATAGTAATTACAGCAAGTGGACAATTCCTTTTCAACTCACATCTCTAAGCCTTGATTTTTAAGAACGCGTACCCAAGTATTCTAAGCTTAGTGAAGCAAATTGCAGCCCTATGGGGAAAATAAATACATATCCCTTGAGATTTACCTAAATTCCATTCTATTCTGTCCTATTCATACAGTTCATTTAGCAGTTTAATTTGAAGTTCCTTAGAGATAGCTATGCATTTTCACACATCAGAAAAAATTTACTAAAACATCTTGATGATTAATCAATCCACTTGTGACATCCAATTTATGAAAAATGAGAATGCAAACAGATAGCCTCAGCAGTAAAGAGAACAATGTTGATGACTTCAATTACAACAATTTGAAATTCTTGCATGCTGCTATATTACTGGGCATCCCCTGAAATGAGAAAGTTTATCAATATTCTGTGCTTGTCGTAATTATGACATGTGTATTAATATATATTAATGTTCATCTTACTCTACGTTATTGCAAGATACTTAGACACACCAGTATATGACCACCTGCATTATAAAAGGACATAAAATGATATGACGCAGAAATCATTACCTTTTCACCCACAGTGGACAACCTTACCTTGGCAACTGCAAAAGCCAAATAAAAAAACAAAATCAATACTAAAATAAAACAATTCTACATTTCCATTTAGCATTATAGTTATATATCACAGATAAATGCAGAAAACAATAATAGCATTTAATACTACATTAACCGGTTATTTAGATTCTTCAGTAATAACTTTTACCTAATTAACAATTTAAAGAACAAAATTATAATATTCAGAACAATTTAAACACAAAGATACAAAAATAGAATAATACACAATGGAAAAAAGTTTCAATTGAAATGAAGTCCCCAATGACATTGGATTTCAGAAATCTGATTTTCTTAGTTTTATATCAGACGATATTTGTATGGCACCTGGAACTCAAGCAAAGATCAACTTTCATTGATACCAGTGAGCTTGGTGTGAGTATCTTGTGTTTCAAAATAGGCAGTTGTCCAAATGGAAGAACTCATATTGCAATATTAGTTGCACATTTTTAACTTATCTGTGAATTTTTGCTCTTCGATGCAAATGCATTATTCATAATCATCCTCCTCAACACCTGCTTTCAGATATTCCATACACTCAAGTCTGCAACTATGTTTAGTTATATGTTTTCACCTAATCAGAACATTTGTTAATAGCTCAAACATTGTGGCCACCAAGTATGTACAGCATTGTTTATTCTGTGATATACTGTGACACAGTATGTGTGCGAAAGAAAATGGTTATAGAAATATATTGTCTGAAAATCATTATGCTGGATAAGTATCCAATGTGGTAGGTAGCATGGACATTCTTCTCCTGCTCTGAAAATGCATTGACCATAATGGATTGGGTTCTTCCATAACTGTGTGCAGTGTGCATACTAGAAACATCTTATTAAACTCATTTAGGGTCCTATATATGACGTGCAATGAGATCCATGCTTCTTTTTTTTTCATTAACAGGATGAGGGCATCACTGCCTAGGCAGCACTTACTACCCATCCCTAATTAAGAGTCAACTTGCATCCACTTTGCAGTAAAAACCTAAATGCATGTGTTGCATCCTCAAATGCAACATCACAAGTGACTAACCCCTACAATTTACAACAACTAGTGAGGCAGTATAAGTCCTAAGAGACTGTCATGCATGGTCACAGACATTCACCCCAACCATGGCAGAGAAGGAAAAACTGCTGATCTGCTTTACAGACAGGCATCTGGAGGTCGGTGGTGGATAGTGCGATATGGAGGAGGGCCGTCCTCTTCAACCAAGACCAATAGAGAAGGCCACAACACAAGACTTGCCAGTCTGGTTTGAGGGTACCACCCAGGGCAGTACAATCCCCATAGTCCAGTGGAATGCCCAGCAATAATTAAAGAGGGTTGATAAACTTCTCCGCTCCACCACTATAAGTGCCACCACCTGCTTCTGCTACTGCACTCACCTCCCAACTCATGCTCTACCACTCTTACTATCCTCCCTCACTCGCTCTTGTCCACACCAGCATTTCTCACACATGCATACACTGAGCACTCCTCTACCACTAACCCTGCACGACCTCTGCGGTGTCTACTCACTCAGTCACCCATTCAGTTTACCTCACTACATTACCCCACCTGCAACAGCAGCAAGTGTACCACCCACTTTCATCTCACTCACTCCCTCACTTTCTTTCCTTCCAAGAGAAAATAACTTTGAAAGGGCAGATGGTTAAATGCTGGACATTCACCTCCTCACCCACTACAAGGCAAGGACACTGGGGCCTGCCAGTGAAGACTGGACTACTCCTGTGGGGTTGCGGAAACTTCCATGTCCTGGCATAGAGATATGAAGTATTATTCGTTGTTGTGTTACTCTTCTTTACCCCTACCATACATTTAATGTTAATATGCCTCAACTTTTATCCCTTGGTCACACATTCATTCTTTTGTCTTCTTCAGGCATCGGTGGGATGTCCACAGTGTCTGCTGTCAAAAGGCCCATCCAGCAAAACATACTCTCCTCCAGGAGGATGCACTTGCCTCTGGGCAGTATGTCTGGTCCCTCTATATAAAAGGATTCCAGGGTTGCCTGACCAAATTTCCAAGGCCAACAACTCCACTGTAGGACAGACATCTTACACCCCAATTGCAAAATCTGGGACTGCACTGTGATATAGCAGGAGGGAAAGAAAGACGATGACATTCTGAGGAACAGAGGATCCAAGGTGTGAAGCGAGTGGCTCCGCAATCATATGTAGGCAACGGTTAAATCATCGTTCGCTGCTACTTTGGCAACTTGGCTCCATTTTATCAAGTAGACAAACATCGTGACTGCATTACATGCATCAGTGGGATTCATCTGTCATCTTGCACGATATGATCAGGATTGCTTGGGCCAAAGATGTGCAATACACACAACTGGCTAATGCCAAAGCTTCACAAAATGTGTTCTGCTCACTGTATATTTTTCTTCAGTGTATGGGTATGTCTGTAATGTTGTTGCCCTTTTAAGGACCTCACATCACTTCAGCTTAATGCTCTCTCCTTTACAGAATAAAATATATAACGTGCCCACTTTGGGCGTGGTCACAGCCACAATCATCTCCATTGCACACTTGTTATTGAAAGCCCAATGGGAGACAACAGAAGTTGGTCCTCAAATAGTGAGTCTCAGGCTCGGCCTCTCTGTCTTGGTGAATTGCCATATGGAAATATCCCCTTCCTGGTAGCCCTACTCATCACCTCCACAGGCCTTGCACTTCCCCAATTCCTGAGAAAACCCACCTATCATGTCTCCCTATCTAGTCTTCGTCTGTCCACTTTACCACCCCAGCCCCATACATATACAGTAGCCATGCCAGTATTGTAGTGCATTGTCTCCTCATGGAAGCCAGGAGTCTTGCTCACCATCAATGATTGTGCCTCTTGCATGACCCTTTTCCTTCCCATGCTCCATTGCCTCTCTCCCCACTTTACACATTGAGCCAGCTCCTTCAGTATTGTAATTCCTTCTGCATTCCAGCAATATGACTCAAATCAACACAATTAATTCTTTAGCCTTCAGTAGCTGGAATGAGCCTCCTCCATTCTCTGAGTCTTGATGCAGATTGCCAAGAGTACCTGTCATTTTCTAGTCAATCTTCATTAGCCTTCCGCTGAAAGCTTAAGGCTGTGAAGTCAGCTCCTGAATCCCCTGGACTAAACTAAATATATAATCACTTCCTCTGGCTAGGCATCCTATTCCGCTGGCTTCTCTTAATGCAATCCCAGACCAATGCTCACATGGTTCTTGGCAAAGGAAACATGCAGCATTCTTTGTCAAACATGCTCAAACATGCTGGATCGTCTCTTATAAAGCTATTCTCTAGGTAGCTCTTTTGTACAAGATAGACTACCATAGAAAAAAAGTTTACTGGGAACAAAAATTCTACCTTGTGATAGTGGTTCTTTTCCGAGGCCACCAAGCATTACAGAGTTAATATTCCATGATCCAGCAACAAATTCCTCCTTTAGGTGCCGAATTTCTGCAATTTCCATTTCTTGTTTCCTGTTTTAAGAAATGAAAAAAAGATTAATTAGATCCTTCAACCCACAAATTATTAAAAATAGAAGCCATAACAGCCCAAATATTGTAGTGGTATTGATGACAAACATGTCAGCAGTCACTAGCATTACAACTCTGAAAAAAACAGCAGTTTCAGCACTTTGCACATGCACAGTGTAACAGAAATTCTCTCCCTAATGGCACTGTGGTCGACTTACAGCACATGGTCTGCAGCAGTTGAAGAACAAAGATCACTACCATCTTCTCAAGGGCAACTGGGGATGGGATATAAATGTTGGCACAACCAGCAATGCACAAATCTCATGAATGAATAAAAATAAAATCACCAGCTACTGTCAGTCATTCTATTCTCCTGCTGAAGAAGATCTCCCAGAGGAAAAATAAATGAAAGGAAAAAAAAACCTTTTAAAAGCTCTGGTGTATCTGGGTTTAAAATTACTGCCATTCAGCCTCAGTTGTCCACATTTTATAATTGTGTAATGTCAATTTTCTCCATTACGATGAAAATCACATTTGTTTCTATTTATTATATTTCAGCTTTCAACTAAATCCAATTATAATTATTTATTTGTTGCATGAAGATTTAAACTAAAAATAAAATAATTTACTGATTTGTTATTTGTAAGAATGTTTCAATACTATCAGGTAATAACTTGCCTTTTTATATTCATTCATAGGGACGTGAGCATTACTAGCAACGCCAGCATTTACTGTCCACCCTTGAAAAGGTAGTCGTGACTGCTTTCTTGAATCACTGAAATCCTTGGGGTCTGGGTATACCCACAGTTCAACTAGGAAGTGAGGTCTAGGTCTTGATCCACCAGCAGTGAAATAATGGCAATACAGTTGCAAGTCAAGAGGGTGCGTGGCATGGAGGGAACTTGTGGGTGGTGATGTTCCCATGCAACAGCTGCCCTTGTCCTTCTAGGTGATGGAGGTCACAAGTTTGAAGATGCTGTTGATGGAATCTGAGTGAGTTGCTGCATTGCATCTTGTAGAAGTATTGCGTGTCAATGCTGACTGGAGTCAATGTTGAAGGTGGGACTGAGGCAAGTGGGGAGTTTTCCGAAACATGCCTGATCTATTCCTTTCAATGACGGACAGGCACTGGGAAATGGAGAGGAGTTACTCACAACAGAACTCCTAGCCTCTGCATTGCTCTTGTAGTCAGAATATTCATACGGGTGGTCCAGTTCACTTTCTGGTCAGTGGTTGATAGTTTGGTTCATAATGATGACGCAATGTAATGCCAAGGGGAAATGGTTAGATTCTCTCAATTTGGTCTTGGTTATTGCCTGGCACTTGTGTGACACAAACGTTAATTTCCACTATCAGTACAAGCCTGGATACTGTCCAGGTCTTGCTACATATGGATATGGGCTAAGTATCAGTACACGAGGAGTAGCGAATAGTGCTGAAAAATATGCAATCACAGTGAACAGCTCCACTTCTGAACATCTGACGAATGGAAGGTCACTGATGAAGCAACTGTAGATGATTGGGCCCAGGATACTATTCCAGGAACTCTGTGATGTCTTGGGATTGGGATGATTGACTTCCAACAACCAAAACCTTGAGAAGATTTATAGCTTGGGTTGTGGATGAGGTTGTAGACATGCTCGCCAAGCCGGTGGGTTTGGTTACAAACGTTTCGTCACCCTGCTAGGTAACATCGACAGTGCACCTCCAGTGAAGCTCGGTGCTCTGTCCCGCTTGTTATTTATATGCCTCAGTTTGTTGGGGTGTTTGGTACCACTTCCGCTTCTGTTTCTCAGTGGTTTGTACACAGGGTCTAATTCAATGAGTTTGTTGATGGAGTTCCAGTTAGAATACCAGGCCTCCAGGAGTTCCCTGACGTGTCCCCATTTGGGTTGTGCAATTACGGATGTGTTGTCCCAGTTGAATTTGTGTCCCTCGTTGTCCGTGTGTAGTGAGACTAGTGAGAATTGGTCGTGTCTCTTGGTGGCTAGTTGGTGTTCGCGTATCCGTATTGTCAGTTTTCTTCTGGTTTGGCCTATGTAGTGTTTCTCACAGTCCTTGCATGGTATTTTGTATATTAAGCCAGTTTTGCTGGTTTTGGGTATGGGATCGTTTACGTTCGTCAGTAGCTGTCGTAAGGTGGTTGTTGTTTTATGGGCTACCCTGATACCTAGGGGTCTTAGTCTTGCGGGCATCTCTGAAATGTCCTTGATGTATGGTAGGGTGATTAGTGAATCTGGTTTTGTTGTGTCTTCCTGTTGTGGTCTGTCTCGGAGGTAACAGCAGATTGTGCGTTTCAGGTATCCATTCCTTTTGAAGACTCCGTATACATGCCCCTGTTCTGCTCTGTGTAGTTCCGGGTTGCTGCAACATGTTGCGACACTATTTAAACGGGCCACAATACATTGCAGCAATCTTCTACATTTCCAGGCAGATGTCAACAGTACAGCTGTACTGGTCAGCTTTGCTAGGAGCTGGAGCACTCATCTTCAGTACAATGCTGGAATTTGTAAGGGCTCTTGGCTTTTGCAGTATTCAGTGTCTTCAGCTGTTCCTTGGTATCACGTGGGGTGAATCGAACTGGTAAAGACTGAAATCAAGAGGTGGCCAAGAAGCTGTTTGCAAACCTCAGCCTCATCTTTTGCACTGATGTGCTGGGTTCCACTGTTATTGAGGATAGTAATATCTGTGGAACGTCATCTTCCTGTTAGTTGTTTAATTGTCCATCTCCACTGCTCACTTGATGAGTTCAAAATTAGCACACTGCACAGCGGAAAGTATCCTCAATGTGAAGACCACATGTCGCCTCCACAGGAATTGTGCATTGGTGAATCCTACTAATATTGTCATGGACAGATGCAAATATAGTAGATACATTAGCGAGGACAAGGTCAAGTAGGTATTTTTCCCTCACCAACTGTCGCAGACCCAGTCTAGCAGCCCATGTCCTTAATGATTTGTCCAGCTTTGTCAGCAGTTGTAGTTGATGAGCTACTTTAGCCTATTGCCAGTGAAGTCCCCCACCCAGAGTACATTCCTCGGTCTCCTCAACACTCCTTCCATTGGTGTTCAACATGAAAGAGGGTGTTAAGGGATGGGTAGTAGGTGGTAATCAGCAGGAGATTCCCTTGTCCAGGTTTGTCCTGATGCTGTTAGGTATTACAGTGTCCAAGGCAACTCCCTCCTGCCCATACACTATTGTGCCACCACCTCTGAAGGGTTATCCTGCCAGTACGACCCAGGAATGGCAACGGTGGTATCAACAGCATGCTCTACAATATATAATTCTGTATGATTGTTTCAAACTGTTGCTTCACTGATCTGTTTGATAGTTCTCCCAAATCGGCACATGCCTCCTCATGTTAGTCAGGAGGACTTAACAGGTTTAAGCCAGCTAGATTTGCTCATGTCATTTCCAGTGCATTGGGTAAGAAAGGCTTCATTCTTCTCTTACACATAATAGTTATATACAACTATGTGACTTGCTTGTTAAGAGAACCACATTGCTGTGGGTCTGGAGTCATATGTGGCCATACCAGGGATGATAGACCATGTAAGACTTCTGTCCCTAAAGGGCATTAGTGATGCAGCTGGGTTTTTACAGCCATCACCATTCCAGATATATAAAGTGAATTCAAATTTCACCATCTGACATTGTGGGAGTTAAACCCCTGCCCCCCACAGCTTTAGCCTCAACCTCTGTATTATCAGTTCAGTGACATGTACTCAATGCCATGACCTCACTTTAGGACATTATTTGTGATATTACTGCTGCTGCACACTGTGTAATCACATACATTAATGGCAGATTTAAAGCGATGCTGGGAAATGGATAATCCGTACAAAAGAGATTGCTAGATTTTTAGTTTGCTTTCTTCAAGTTCAGTGCCGGGTACGATTGTTTTGTTTCTGACTGTACAATCTAGCAGGATTTGATCAGGATTTTAAATGATGATAGTTAATTCTAATTTAAAATACTCTACATCCATGAAACAAATTCTAAGCAGAAGCTATTTACTGTTTCAATTCTGTTTCTTGAGCAAGAAGTGAATTTATTGCCTCATCTCCTTCATCCTCACTGTCATATAAATGAAAGGCAACTCTTAAGTAGTCTGTGCCCTGCAGAAATAAAAGATAAAAGGTTAATTCTATTAAATGCTAGCTGTTGATATACATACCATTGTTTTGTTTCTCCTTTCCTAGGTGATTAAATGATTCAGATGGAGATTAGAGAATTGTCAATGTCCAAAAGTTGTTACAGCTCCAAGAAGTTAAATGTGTAGAATGGACATGACTCCATTTTGACTGTGTAAATTTAAGTACAGGCAAAACAGTATAAAAAACACCAGTGATAGTAGGAACTGCAGATGCTGGCGAATCCGAGATAACAAGATGTAGAGCTGGATGAACACAGCAGGCCAAGCAGCATCAGAGGAGCAGGAAGGCTGACGTTTTGGGCCTAGACCCTTCTTCAGAAATTTCTGAAGAAGGGTCTAGGTCCGAAACGTCAGCTTTCCTGCTCCTCTGATGCTGCTTAGCCTACTGTGTTCATCCAGCTTCTACACCTTGTTATCTAAAAAAACTCCAGTCACTGCTTTTATTATGCTTTAGGAAGTTTCAGTACTATAATTAGACATGAAGTAGAAAGATTTTTAAAAGTACATCACTGATGGTCTGTAATGAAGTCAGAAGTCACATGACACCAGGTTATAGTCTAACAGGTTTATTTAAAATCACAAGCTTTTGAACCACTGCTCCTTTGTCACCTCGTCCAACACCAGCACCTCCACATCAGGTCTATAATTAATGTCAACAAGGTTGAATATATTGCACAAATTTTTTTTATTAGAATGAGACACAAATTGTACACTTTTAAAAAGGCAAATTTATTTTGAATGTAACATATTGTGCAGTATTGAGTGGAGTACAACAGAATTGCTGAGGCCTGCAAGTTCCCTTCCAAGCCATACATCACCCTGACTTTGGTCTGTATTGCTGTTTCTTAATTGACATGGGATTAAAATCCCTTCCTAATGGCAATGCAGGCATTCCAACACCCCAAGGACTGCAGTAATTCAAGAAGGAAACTCATCATCACCTTCTACAGGGCAGTTGGGGCCAGGCAATAAATGAAAAATTGAGTGAGTGCTGCACTATGGAAGATGTCAAAAGAAAGATGTCCCATAAAATTCAATATGACCCAAAGTGGGCACAGCGCTCATAATGTGCCGTTGAACTATGTCCACTGCTTCTGTTGCAGGCCCAAGCAAACTTTGCACTGTCTGCTTATTTGCATGATTCTAGTAAGCAGGCAGTATGAAACACCCTGTAGAGTGGTAGGGTGGCTGCATATCTGAGAAGGGGGCTCAAGATCATGAGCAGTCAGCACAAGTTCAATCTAACCAGTCTACACCACCTAAAGGAGAGATATATTTTAATTGGAGCTAGTGCTGGAAGTGGCTGGGGAAGAATACCTGTTGTACAAGAAGCATTGCAAAGACACAACAGGGGAGGGAGCAAGTTCCGAGGTACAGGGGAGATGTTGGAGGTTCTAGGGACTTAATCCCACCACAGTAGGTGGAGTTTAAAATTTGTTTAATAAATTAGTAATGGTGACCAGGGCCAAATCATCCAGCCCTGAATAATGTAGGCATTAACAAAAAGGTCAGTATGGAGATTAGCATCGTGACAGATTAGCAGTGAGGAGCTTCTCAACATCAAAGGTAAAAAGTCAAATTTTCCAACCAAGATGAGATTCTTGCCCATCAGCATCAGGAGGCCTATTTACATGCATTAACATCTCATTATTAGTGAATCTTGCCTCATTTAGAATCATATGCTGTACAGCGTGAAAACAGACCCTTTGGTCCAACTTGTCCTTGCCAACTAGATATCCTAAATTAATTTAGTCCCAGTTGCCAGCATTTGGTCCATATCGCTCTAAACCCTTCCTATTCATATACCCATCCATATGTCTTTAAATGTTGTAATTGTATCTGCCTCCACCACTTCCTCTGGATACATGTACCACACTCTGCATGAAAAAGTTGCCCCTTAGGTCCCTTTTAAATCTTTCTCCTCTTACCATAAACCTATGCCCTCTAGTTCTGAACTTCCCCACCCTGGGAAAAGGCCTCCGCTATTTACCCTTTACATGCCCCTCGTGATTTTATAAACCTCAATAAGTTCACCCCTTGGCCTCCAACCCTCCAGGAAAAATAGCCCCAGCCTATTCAGCCTGTCAAAAACTCCAACCCTAGTAATATCCTTGCAAATCTTTTCTGAACCCTTTCAAGTTTCACAACGTCCTTCCTATAGCAGGGTGACCAGAACTGATTGCAGTATTCCAAAGGTGGTCTAACCAATGTTCTGTACAGCTGCAATATGACCTCCCAACTCCTATACTCAATGCACTGCCCAATAAAGGCAAGCGTTCCAAATGCTTTCTTCACTACTCCATCTACCTGCGACTCCACTTTCAAGGAACAATGAACCTGCACTCCATGGTCTCTTTGCTCAGCAACAATCCCCAGGATTTCACATTTATCTAAATTAAACTCCATCTGCTACTCCTTAGCGAAATTGGCCCATCTGATCAAGGTCCCATTGTACTCTGAGGTAACCTTCTTGGCTGTCATCGGCAAACTTACTAACCATACCTCCTATATTCACATCCAAATAATTTATATAAATACGAAAAGCAGTGGACCCAGCACTGAGTCTTGTGGCACATCGCTGGTCACAGGCCTCCAGTGTGAAAAGCAACTCTCCATCACCACCCACTGTCTTCTACCTTCGAGCCAGTTCTGTATCCAAGTGCCCAATTCGCCCTGTATTCCATGTGATTTAACCTTGCTAATCTATTTATTTGCAGTTTCTCAGTTTCCCACCCACCAAAGGGAAACTGGATGCCAACAATTCCTGATATGAAAGTCAGAGTGAGTAAGTGTCAACTGCAGTTCACCGCATAGTCTTCTGGACCTTCATCTTGCATTGCAATCAGCAATACCTCAGGGCATGAAACCCATATCACACCTTATAGAGACTCTGGCATCCATATGTACCACAATGTCATAGCTGATCTCTGACCCATTTGCAAGATGGATCTGCATTTTGGAGCACATGGCAAGTATCATTGTAATGTTGCCATTAGGACACTTTGCGCACAAAGACAGAAACCCATCTATGGATTGGATCACGCTGCATCTCAGGGTTCCTCATATGCTCTCTTCGTATTTAATCACTTTGCTCTTTTGTGAATATTCACAACATCCCAGCTTTGCCTTGCCGTTTTATGCTTTGTCACCTCAGCCAGAACTTAAAGATTCACTACTTCTGCTTTGCCTTGCTGTTTAACATTGGCCAAGTCAGGCAGCTTGCATGGTTGGTCAAGGTGGTTAACACATTGCTGTATGGCACTGTGCTATGTCAATCTCACACTTTGTCATGTGCCAACACTGTACATAGCAAACATGCTGCGTGTGCATCAAGCAAATGGCCGGAGCATAAAATCTAAGGTAAGTGGTCCTCGTTCAAGGGAACCAACCTACAATCAGTATGTCAAGGGTTTTGTCCACAATCTGTTCATGGGCATGGACACAGTCATCCGGTCAGTTGGGGCTGCCAGCATCAGGGGTTTGTATCACTACAGTCCAGGAAGTGAGCCTGAGTCAATCCTGCAGGTCTAGTTTAATCAGTCTGGGGAGTTCAGCACAGGCCAGTCAGAGATCTGGCAGTTATCAGTTGGAGTTGTCTGTGCAAGTCAGTGAGCTGAGCAGACAATCATCAGCCTGCGCAACAAAAGTCAAGGGAAGTTATCAAGGGCCACTGCTGAGATAGACAAGTGGGGAAACTCAATTCTGTGGATTGGAAGCAGGATGCCAGGATACAGAGGGGACAATAACTGTGAAGGGTTTAAACTAAACTCCATTTATCAGGGTGGGTGGGGGGAAAAGGGATGTTTAGCATGATGGTTGGCCTGATTAAACTGAAGGGCTAGAACTCAGGGGGTAATATTCAGAGCTGGAGGCAAGTCAAAGTGTTAACTTGCAGAGGTTCAGTACTGATGGGCTCAACAGGGTGAGCTAGGAACAAAGGAGATTTGGCAGGGAGGCTGTGATTATCGATCTGAATGTATAGTTCACTGTGTCAAGCTCAACCTGCACTGCTTTCCTAATTCATCCAATATGTGAATATGCAGCGGTACGAATGGAAAATGCTGCAATAACACACAGTGTAGACAGTGCTAGTTTTAAAAAAAAACCTGTCTGAGCATACAGGCACTTCTTGTAAATGATAATGCCCTTCAAGAGGGAATTGCGTTAATTAAGCACTTTCACGATAGTTGAAGTCATCTGTAATCATAGCATCCTGCATGTGAAAAGGCTCCTGTGGTGTCTCTACCTTCAAGCCAGGAGATCTGGGTTCAAGTCTCATCTGCTTTAGAAGTGTGTAGTAACACTTCTGTACAGGTTGATAAGAAAATATCTCGTGTGTGTGAACTGCATGCAGTTCCCAACTGCAAAAATTCTGATCACGAGCTATCTTGACCATGTCATTGGTCGCAGCAGATTGAAGGTAGCTACCACAATTTAACCACAAGAGATCTTGACAGTAGCAACTGCAGGCCACAATGTACAAAAATAGTCTAAGATCTCATAGGCTTCCTGGTGAATACCATCTTGAATTAGATGAAAGTGAGAGACCAATCCAGCATCTGACAAGGACAGCTACAACTGTACTCCATTCCAGCTGAAAAACAAGATACAACAGCTGGAAATGAAAAGAATAATCAAAAAAGTATCAATTCCTACACACTGGATTAGAAGCATGGCAGCAGTGAAAAAAACCTGGAAAAATAAGGCTGTGCTTGGATCCAAAAGATCTCAATTAAGCTTTGAAGAGATCTCACTATCCTATGTCAGCCATTGAAAAAATTTACTACAACTTGTCATAGCAAGGTCTTTACTACCACCAATACAAAGGGTGGTTACTGTCAAGTGAAGTTGGATGAAAGCAGCAGTTTTCTTACTGCATTCTGGGCACCATTCACTCAGTACATTCTGGACAACATTCAGAAGATACAGATGGCTATCAATGCATTCAGCATTTCCATTTCTCCAGAAAAGTATCAACGCAATTAGCGGTTGACCCAGAATCTAAACTACTGTGGATGATCTGCTACTTTATAGATATCGAGACACATTGAAACCAAAATGTTGGCCTTCATAATGCAAGGATTTGAGTACAAGAGGAAGGATGGCTTGCTGCAACTGTACAGGCTATTGATGAGACCACCAGCGTGTTGTGTGCAGTTTTGGACTCCTCATCTGAGAAAGGATGTTCTGACATTGGAGGGAGCACAAAGAAAGTTTGCCAGACTGGTTCCTGAAATGGCAGGGCTGACGTACGGGGAGACACGGGATTGATTAGCACTATATTCACTAGAATATAGAAGTATGAAGGAGGAATTTGATAGAAATCTATAAAATTCTAACAAGATTAGATAGAGTAATGCAGGAAGGATTTTCGCAATGACCAGGGAATCCAGAACCTGGAGTCACAGTCTATGGATAAGGGGCAGGCCCTTTGGGACAGAGTTGAGGAGGAATTTCTTCATGCAGACAGCAGTGAGCCTGTGGAATTCTCTGCTACAGGAAACTGTCAAGGCCATAACATTTTCAAGAAAGATGTTAATTTAGTTCTTAGGGCTGAAGGGATCAAAGGATATGATTAGAAAGCAGGACAGGGTACTGAGTTAAATGATCAGCCTTGATCATACTGAATGGTGAAGCAGGCTCAAAGGGCTGAGCAACCTACTGCTGCTCCTCTATTCTATGTTTCCAAGAAAAAGAAGCCATTGCAGATCATGTTCGGAGTCAGTTGCAACTAAGGTCAGTGCCTGTCAGATAAAAATGAAGTTGAACAAGAAAAAATTGCAACTGAGGAGTTCCAAGTCAAGTACATGCACTGGTATGCGCTGACAGCAAAAGTTCTCCACCCAAATCCTGATGAGATCAGAGCTGTAGCAGATGTGGCAATTAACATATGTGAAAGCAAAGCAACAGATTCATGAACTATCTATCAAAGGTCTTCCCAAACTTGTCATCAGAGTGTGAATCTCTATACAAGTTAAAGGATAAGGGTGGTGAGCAGAACAAGAAGGGCAGCTTCCTCTAGAATCATGCAATGAAGTCAGAACAACACTGAGCTATTACAATGTCAATGTTTGGGTCACATTGTAGTGTGATACCAGAGACCAGATAAGGAGAAGCCCTAGTGCAGGAAAGATAACTAATTGTATCTTCATCCAAAGTATTATACAGACTGATGCCATACTCACATTCAAAATGAATGCTTGGTTATGGTCTTTAATTGTGAACATTTTAATCAATACCTGTTTGAGAGAGACAAAATTACAGTAGAGTCTGAACACTTCAGAGTATCTTCCTCCAGCAACTTTTACCTGCTCCAAAGTTTCTGCAAAGAATGTTACTTTGTTTGCAGAGATATCTTCTGGAAATGAAACACAAACAAGGAAAGTACATATACATTTCCAACATGCTGTTGAGAGCAGTACTCCCTGTGAAGACACCTGAGGATGCTAAGGCAGAGTATGAAACCTTCCAAATTCAGCAAGTGCCAACAGCTTAAAATGCTCTGGAAGTCATAAACCCAAAAGACATTGAATTTAAGAGAAAAAACTTATTGCTTGAATCAAGTAAATTATACAACTTGCCAAGTGCTACAGGATGCAGTGCTGAAAGGATGTCCTCAAACCATGAAGAATACTTCCATTGCTATATGTGAATATTGGACATACACAGGTGGGAAATATCATTATCCCTAAGAAGATGAGAAGAGAGATGCTGATACACATCAATTTAAGCCATCAAGGAAATTAGTTTAATCTGAGAAAGGCAAGAGAAGTGTTCTACTAATAGGTAATGTTTTGCCATTTACACCTACTTCTTAGTAAGTAGGTTTTGCACAATGAAAAATTAATTCACACAAAAATTTTTAGCATTACTGTAAAGCTTTGAAAAGGCAAAGACCTTATGTGGTATAACTCAGCTGCTTCAGCCTAAACCGATTCTAAAGCAAAGTGGAATCTTACTTTGCTTCATTCCAATGTCAGATGAGGATTCAACTCCAAACTCAGTAGAGTTACCCTGAATCTCTCGCATTGTTCCAGTGCTGGGCTTTAGACCTAAACACAAGCTTGTACTTACAGCCAGGATTAAAAATTAGAAAATATGAAATTAAAGATTTACCATATTTAAACATAAATGATAATATAAAAATATCAAGGTTAAGTAAGTGAATTTGGACATTAAAACTGGAAAGAACATTTCTATTTTCCTTTGCTTATAATGTATACATTGATTTGGTTAAAATAAATTTTTGTTTATCCAAAGTGTTTGAGGGAAATGAAACAATTTGGATGAAACAGAAGTCTGTTATATGCAGGAGCAAACACATTGCAAAAGGACCAAAGTCAGAGATCAAAACATAACAATACAACCAATATTCTCCAACTGGTGCTTAGATCCAATGAGGCTCTAGATCGAAGATGTGGCTCTACATGGTTTATTCTCTAAAGTACTATGGTAGTGATGTAAAAACAAAATACGTATTAAAATATCAGTCAACAATAGAGTTTCATCACATTTGGAATTGGTTTGAGCTGACATTATTCCTTAATTAATATTTAATGACATAGTTAAAGGACAGTAATCAGGGTCATCACAACACTGAGAGAACTCACACAAAGAGAACAATCCTACTCTTTCAGTTATCTAAGGTACTTAGCAGCTATATTTCTGACACAAACAAAGCACTGTGAACTGCCTTGTTTGCTTTCTTTTCATGTGATAAGTAAATCACAAATAAAAGATCAAGTTATTTTCTATTTAATTGTGGAAACACTTGCAAATGTAGTAATGGATTCTTACAAAAAGGAGTATATTCATTCAAAGATAGTAGGAACTGCAGATGCTGGAGAATCCGAGACAACAAGGTGAAAGTTGTCTAAAGATCATAATGAAGCACTGAGTCAACAATTCAACAACATACCTGTACAGAAATGTTATTTAGATAATCTGACACTGAAACAACATTTCTGGATTCATCCTTAAATTTAGATGCAGCACTTTCAGCTTCCTGCTTTATTAATAAATACCTGTAATACATTCAAAGGGATGATATAAGCAAACATGTCAAGTGCTTGACTCTCCTTAAAATATTAATTCAAAGTGGCTGCAACTCTTTGTTTCTGTTACTTATAGTTGCAGGTTTAGGTCATTGAATTGTCTTGAAATACGTACAGCACCTTAGATGCATTCAGAGTACTATTTATTTTAAGTAAGGTCCCAAGCACTTGATGCACTGGGTGAAACATTTTTAGAATGCAACACATACTGATTTCAGACTTGGGGCTAATGAGGGGGACAGTTTGTACTAATTCAAAATTAGCCCTAAACTACACAGACTTTTTCTGCACTTTCAAATAGAATTTGAGCATCTTTTGCTCTGAATGGCACATGTTGAACATGTGTGCTGGCTGTGGAAAAGGGTTGTTGCATCCATGGGAGATAATGATCATAGCCATATCCTACATGTTGAATAACTTTGCTTTGCAAAGTTAAACTATTGCAGTGACCCAGGGAGTAGAAAGTCCCAAATAATTAAATAGGAATTTTAATAGGGTGTGGAACCATTCTGCAAGCCTTTGTTCAACAGACTTTCTGTTCTTTGCATTAACAGTCCCATCTTTCCATGTCTTCCACGACTATCTCTTCGCTGATAGTGCCTTAAATCTTTCAAACAACTCAACAATCACAAGCCTACCTTCAGATATCTGAGCCAGAAATCTCCTCAGAGCTGTCCTACTTTGCCAATGTAGGTTCAATGGAAGGGCAGCTGAAACACCATCTCCAGGAAACATGGAATGCAGCCTCAGGATAAGGGAATAATTACTCAGGACTGAGATGGGGAGAAATCACTCACTCACAGGTTGTAACTCTTTGGAATTCCCTACCACAGAGGACTGTGGATGTTCTATCATTTGAAATATTCAAGGTTGAGATCAATGGACATTAGATCTTTTGGAAAATCAAGGGACATAGTAAGCAAGTTTAGTTGAGACTGAAAGTGGATTTCATAAATGATCATAATCAATGGTAGATCTGGCTCATAAGGTCAAATGCTCTATTCCTGCTCCTATCTCCAATGATCTAAAACGCTGCAGACCTCTTGTAGCAGCTGCAATTTTCAAGCGAGAAACTGTTAAGTTCCCAATTACAAGAGGCCTGGAGCTCCCAGAGTTTGTGCAATCATCTTTTTCTGAAAAACAGACAAGCGTAAGCAAATTAATCAGGCAGATTCTCTTCACACGATGTCCTAATTTCAGTCAGTCTTTTGGCCTGTCAGAAAATCTGAGCTATAGAATCATGAAAATTATGGTCCATTATTCCTATACCACTACTAGTTTTTCAACTGACAATACTCCCAATCCCATTTCCAACTATGTTCTATTCTTCTTGTTCAAGTACTTCACCAGTTGCCTTTGACTTATGGTTTACAGCTTCTGCATCAATGGTCATTTCAAAGTCTGATAATGATGATCAACCCAGCCACCCTCATCTTCACAGCTTTGTTCCTGTAGTGATAATCTTCAGGCTATTACACTCATTAGAGTAATTAATAGCATGAAAAATCAACTTCCAAAGCTCTCCACCACCTATTACTCCCTATCCCTGCTCCTCCCACCACTACTAACCCCAACAGTTCAGAGCTTGGCCAGCAGAGCATTAGGATGAAAGTTCAGCGAGCAGCAGTGATTTTGGTATGCGTGATGCAACATAGATCTCAGCTGACCAGTGTGTGAACTCTCATTTAAGCCCCAGTCAAGAAGAAAGAATGCACAGCCCAAAGAATCTGCGTAACCAGGAATATGATGATTCATCTTCAGAATGTTACATCGGGAATGGCTCAAATACCCTGAATCCTGCAACATTAAACAGTACACAGGGAGACACACAATCCCAGAGATAAATGGAAATAGCTCCACTGGCCTGCACTACAGTGCTGCCCAGATAACCATCTAGTCAGTCTCAGCGCGTGGCTTCAATTTGGTCAAATGGATCATGGCAATATGTACGGGAAAAGGAACCAGATTAAATACACTGGAAAAGCAACCTACGATATCAACTTGAATAGGGATACAAGGGACAATAGGAATAAGGAGGGAGGTTGTGGGGAGCTGCTGCAGCAGCGGACCCGATCTGTTTCCTCGCAATCTTGGCGGCCGTGGCTTGACCAATGGCTTCAGCGTTAATGAAGGTGGTGTGGTGATTCAATTTCCTCAGGAATTTGGACAGTCCTTGGAATGGGACCCAGTATTCAGGAGTTGAGACAGTTTCCTGGCTGTGGCAGGAGCTGTAGTGGCGGTGGCTTGATGGGATCTTTTCCATTCTCCTGGCAGTGATGCGGCGGCTTTAGATTTGTCAATTGCGGCATGGTGGGTCCTGTCCAAGATCTTCATGGCAGCGCAAGGGGCTGTTTCAGCAGTGGCAGAGGCGTTGTCTTGACTTTGTCTCAATTATTCCTTTTTATAATTTCTGTATTTAAAATGGCACCAGATTCTGGTGACTTATACACTTTTCACTGTTTTTATAAATACAAGTGACAATAAATTCCTATAAATACAAATTACTAATTACTGTAAATAATTTCTGCAAATACATAACAAGCAGAATTAAACATAATATGACGAAATTTTACATTCAGTTTGAGGAAGAGAGGAGTGGGGCCAAAACTAGTATTTTAACTTAATTAAGGGCAATTATGAGGACATGAAAGCCGAGCTATCTAAAGTGAACAGGCAAATTAGCTTCAGGGCGGGTCTGTACAAATGTTGTGGTAGATACTTTAAGGAGCTATTTCAGTATACATGAAATAGTGACATTCCAAAAAAGTAAAGAAATTCCAAGCGAGGACCCACCATATGTGGTTAACTAAAAAGATTAAAGCTAGCATTAAACTTAAAGAAAAAACATATAATTGTGCAAAAATGGATGGCAGGTCAGAAGCCCCACAAAACCTGCAAACAAAGAATAGGCAATGACCCACCAGATAGTGGTGCCACCAAGGTACTGTAGGGAAATAAGGCAGCTAGCACACAAAATTCCAATTACTAGACATGAGGATATACACAAATCCCAAGCCTGCATCAGCCAGTACTTTTACTGGCCACAGCTCCATATGGATGAAGTAAATACTTGCAGAACCTTACACACATGCTAGGTAAACTCCAACCCACATTAAAGCCTGCACCAATGATTCCCATATCATACTGCTAGGAGTATCCCCATGATTGGGATAAAGGACTAGGTTTTCTCCTGCTCACCATCAGCTACTCACTCAATAAATCCACAGAGATAACAAGGTGTAGATCTGGATGAACACAGCAAGCCAAGCAGCATCAGAGGAGCAGGAAAGCTGACGTTTCAGGCCTAGACCCTTCTTCAGAAATTCACCCCAATAAATCCACAGGTTTTGTTCCATCTGAATCAGTTTATGGGCATCAAGTACAAGGGCCTCCGAAACTATTTCAATGAGAGGTTTTTAGAACAGAAGGAGAAAGTCTCCATGTTAGACTATGTAGCGGAGTTCTGACAGTGACTCTTGTGAGCCTGGGAAATGGCTCAAGAACACTTTAAAAGCTCCCAAATAGTGATTGAAACAAGAAGTCGACAAACATGCTAGAATCTGAACCTTTCAACCAGGAATCCATTTGTTAGTGCTCCAGGTTCATTGATAGTAGCCACCAAAAAGCTTGGGAAGTGATGTTTAACTGACATATCAGCATGATAAAGCAATATCATTGCTGAAAAGGAAACAAGCAGGTAACTAACCTAGAGAACAAGGGTCACAGTGGGGATTAATTAGAGGAAGATGTGAGTTAGGCCCTCACTGGACCCCTACAATCTAACTAACCAATATAGAAGTATTAGCAAACTTAGGTTCTCTATTCACCCAAGTAAGTGTAGAATGCAAATTTAACAGGGCTGTTCACTGCCCTCAAGAATTTATACAGAGATAAGACAGGCTGTACTATCCCAACTCTAGCCAATGTGGCCTCTCCAATAATATCCCTATCATAGGCCCAGAAAAGCTGACCCAAGTAACATATCAAGTGCACATAGCGAGGCAAGGAGGAGTACTGTCTAGTGCTTCAAAGGTGGAAGAAGTAATACAGTTCCCCATTCCCTCAGTAAAATGGGAAATTGTGAGGTTCTTGGGAATGTGTCAATTCTACCAAAAGCTTGCCCTACACTTTTGTACAGTTGTGCACCGCTGAGAGATCTACTACAGAAAAGCAGCAAAGGTAGTATGGACTGAGAAATGCCAAACTGCTTTTGAAAAGCTGAAGGTCACATTTACAAGTAAGCCTATGATTGCAGCTCCAATCTTTAAACAAGCTTTGAAAATAACCATTGATGCTTGTGGTGCTGATGCATGCGCTCCTTCAGGAAGATAAGTCCAAAATAAGGGGTGCAATCTGGAAGTACTCCATTGTAGAGAAAGAAGCTCTTGGTTTATCACTAGCTCTCTCCAACACTTCAAGATAATGTTTCAAGTGGGTACCGAGAGAACAAAACCTACACTGACCACAGCTTTTGTGGAAAGATTTCAAGACCAAGAAGCTAAGTTAATTTTATGTTTTTAATTTTTAATTATATTCCTTCAACTATACCACCTGAAAATTAACAACATTACGATGAAATCAAAATTGATTGCAGACACCCTGTCCAGAATCTAGAGACCCAATTGGAATTGAAGAGGAACTGACCAAGGCTAAAAGAATGAAAATGTTTGAAAGTGTGTTTGTTGTTTTATATATTCACCTCTTTTTCACTCTTTGTAATGAAATGGAAAGGAATCTCATTTAATTCTTCTGGCAGGAAACGTGAGTTGATGATGGGTCAGAATCTCTAAATATAATGAGCATTTTAGTCCTTAATTCCAAAATGTGTTTGTTGAAAAACAGGACTGCTACGCAAATACGATTTAGATTTATTGTCACATATATAAAAGTACAGTGAAAACGGTTTTTTCACGTGTTATACAAACTATTTAAAAAGGAATCAGGACAAAGGAACTTCTGTCAGCCAACAAAACCAAAAATCCAGCCATTCAACCTCCAACGTCAAGTGTTGCCATGCTCCGGCCCCACCTTGACACACTGAATATAATATAAAATTTTACTGAAGTAAAGTTCATCTTTCTCCCTTCTTCTTGATAACCACAGATCCAAAAGAAAAATCTGTATGGGGTACATTGGATACACCAACTAAAGAAACTCAAATAAAACTTCAAACAGATTGAACTGTGATCTCTTGCAACCACAAGGGTAACAACGAGCTGATGACCCCCTACTCAACAGAAAGTCACCCCCTGCAGATTATGTCCCAAACAGGAGTTATGTTTTGATTTTTGCCTTTGAAGGTCACACAAGGACAGGGATTAAAAAGCCAGTTTCAACCCTATTGGAATGTGCTAGCAGAACAGAGCATTCACATATGTACTCGTCTGTGATCAAGCATGAGCATGCTGTGAAGGCCACAGTTGAAGCAGCACCCCCTAGTTAGCCCTGTAGTGCAGGTAAAGACCCTGTTTCATTCTGAGTGCTAAAGGTCATCTAACCAGCAGGACAATAAAAAGAAGACTCTTTCTCACTCTGAGTGCTGCAAACTATTTAAAAAGGAATCAGGACAAAGGAACTTCAGTCAGCCGACAAAACCAAGAAATCGGCCACTCAACCTCCAACGTCAACACTGCTGGCAACCTCCACTGCTACGGCCGCCAACGGATAACTGTCTGTTCTTTGTGGACAATTCAGAGACTGATTTTTTTAAACTTTTATTCTTTTGGACTCACCGCTTTTTCTAATGTCTTTTTCTAACACGTATGTTGCATTACTAATTCTCCTTGCATTTAGAGATTAATAAATTGATCATTTTCATAGATTCGAGAAAGCCATTTAAATTGGATTCGTTTAAAACACAAGTTAATTTGGGCCTGAGAGATAGGTACCGAAAAAGGAGGTGGCCTTTTTCAAGTAACCTTGTTGTTTTTTCCTTTATTGATTCACGGGATGAGGGGCATCACTGGCTAGGCAACATTTATTGTCCATCCCTAACTGCCCAGAGGGCAGTTAAGAGTCGACCACATTGCTGTGGTTTTGGAGTCACAAGTAGGCTAGACCAGGTAAGGATGGCACTGTCCTTCCCTGAAGGACATTAGTGAACCAGATGGGATTTTGCCTGACAATCGGGCAATGGTTTCACAATCATTGGTAGATTCTCAATTCCAGATATTTATTGAATTCAATTTCCACCATCTGCTGTGGGTCTCTGGATTAACAGTCCAGTGATAGTACCACTAGGCCATTGCCTCCCCTGTCGGGAAGCAAGAAACAAGAGACAGAAAGTAGGCATAAATGGGTTGTTTTCTGTTCGGCAAGATGTAATGCGTAATACATCAGAGGGATCAATGCTGGGGTTTCTACATTTTACAAATTTCTAGAAATGGCGTGGATGAAGGAACAAAATTTATGCTTACTAAATTTGCTGATGACTCAAAGGTAGGCAAGTAATTGAGTTGAGAAGAAGATATATAAGAAAGCTACAAAGATCTGGCCAATAGGCTATTATTAAGGATAACATAAAATTGTTCTTTTCAGCGATTAGAATGAAAAAATGAGCATTTTATCTCAACAGTGAGTGCATGCACATGGATCTGGGTGTATTATTGCATGTTTGCAAATGTTCTGTAGACTAGAACAGCAAGTAATTAGATAGGCAAACAGAATGTTTTTACTTATTACAAAAGGAATTGAAAACAAAAGTAGGGAGGTTATGCTTCTGTCATATAGGACATTAGTGATACCACATCTGGATTATTGTGCATAGTATTGGTCTCCTCATTTAAAGAAAAATATAAATTCAGTGGAAGCAGTTTAGACTATCCTTGCAATGGAGGGCTTTTCTTTTGATGAAACTACACTTTACTGCATACAGTCCTGGTGGCCACACCACTTATTGTATTCAGTTCTGGTCACCACACTACCAGACGGATGTGGATGCTTTGGCCAGGGTACAGGAAAGGTTTACCAGGATGTTGCCTGGTATGCAGAATTTTAGCTATGAAGAAAGGTTGGATAGACTGAGTTTATATATAAGATTGCAAATGGCATGGGTAGAGTGGAAAGTATGAGGCTTTTTCCCAGGGTGGAGGGGTCAATTACTAGGGGAGGCAATGGCCTAGTGGTATTATAGCTGGACTGTTAATCTAGAGAGCCAGATAACATTCCGGAGACCAAGGTTTGAATCCCGCCACGGCAGATGGTGGAATTTGAATCCAATAAAATATCTGGAATTAAGAATCTAATGATGAGCATGAATCCACTGTTGATTGTTGGAAAAACCCATCTGGTTCACTAATGTCCTTTAGGGAAGGAAACTGTCGTCCTTACCTGGTCTGGTCTACATGTGACTCCAGACTCACAGCAATGTGGCTAATTCATAACTGCCCTCTGGGCAATTAGGGATGGGCAATAACTGCTGCCCAGCCAGCGACACCGTCATCCAATTAATGAATAAAGGAATAAAAAAGGATACAGGTTCAAGGTGCAGGGTGGGGGCAAGTTGAGTTTAAAAGAAATGTGGGAGTCAAGTTTTTCACACAATGGGTAGTGAGTGCCTCAAACGTGCTGCCAGAGGTGATGTTGGAAGCAGACATAATTGCAGCATTCTAGAAGCACCTGAACGAATAAGTGAATAGGGAGGGATTAGAGGGCTACGGATCCTTCTAAGTGAAGACAGTTTTAGTAAGGAAGGGCAAAATGTGTCGGCACAGGCTGGGAGGGCTGCAGAGCCTGTTACTATGCTGCATTGTTCTTTGTTCTTTGAAAGACATTCTAACATGGCACTTAAAGTTCAAGATAATCAGGTAACAAAGAAATGTTGGACGAGCAAAATTGTATATTTGTATCTACTGGAGTTCAGAGGAGAAAGAGGCGATGACTGAATCATGCAAGATCCTGAGAAGTCTTGACTGGTTGGATGTGGAAGGATGTTTCCTCTTCTGGAGGAATTTAGCACTAGGGTCACTGTTCAAAACTAAAATGTTATCCATTTAAGTGAGTGATGAGAAGAAAAGGTCGACAGTTTACTGCCTTTTGAGGTAGATAGTCTTTGAAATAATTTTAAAGCAAAGATAGGTATATTCTTGACAAAAGAGACAAAAGAACTGAAATCAGAAATCTGAAACAAAAGCAGAAATTGCTGGAAAATCTCAAGAGGTCTGGTGGCATCTGTGGAAAGAAATCAGAGTTAATGTTTCAGGTCCAGTGAGGGTTCTGAAGGAGGGTCACTGGACGTGAAATGTTAACTCTTGATTTCTCTCCACAGATGGCAACAGACCTGCTGAGATTTTCCAGCAATTTCTGCTTTTGTTTCAGGTACATTCTTGTTAAACAAAGAGATGAAAGGTTGTTTGGGGTTGGTGGGTATATGGAGCAATCAGATCAGCAGTGATCTTATTGAATGGTAGAGCAGACTCAAGGGGCCAAATGACCTATGTTTGTTCCTACGCATATGTTGGTATGTGTAGAAATATAGAGATATGCATTTATACTATTCCAAGTGGACTCATGGCTAGTAAATTCAAATTATTCTCCTTTGAAAAAAATTCTCCTGCAACTTCCTAACACCACAACATTAACACATTCAGAATGACTTCTCAAGCTCATACCACTAAGTTTCAAAGCAAGCTGAAACAACACCCAAACCCTACCTTTCAGTCCCAAACTTAGGTTGCAATAATTTCAGTTCAGGATTAATGGCACGCTCCTCTTTCTTCTTGGACAAAATGGAGGATGCAAAACACTTGGAAGGATGTACATCCATTGCTGGAGAAGTTACCATTGGATCCTAAAGAACAGAATACAAACATGTCCTGTGAAGTATTGATAAGTACCTTTGTGCATTTGAATCCAATTTGTAATACTGACTCACTCAAGTCCTTTAACTTTGAGATTACTACCAGTGGATTTCCAAAGTGTAACTCTTCCAAGGCATGCCAAATTTAAAAATACAGACACTCCCTAAAATCGATTCCCTGCAAGATCCATTAAAATTAAACTTTATGGCAGCTGGTATTAGTTAGCCCTAGCCATTTGAAATTAGGCTTGCATGGAGGTACACTGGCAAAAAAAAAATCAAGGAAAACTCAAATTTCACAACCACGCCAGGCATGTCCTCAGAGCAATTCATGAACTGCAAATTTTGTATATACTTATTTAGCCCCCTTTTAGTTTTTTCTTAGTGCACCAATTTAAAAAGAACTAACATCACACCTAAATGTTTTAAAAAAGATAAAGGTCAGTTTAATATACAACTATTGCTAAATTAGAAAGTAAGCAATGATAGTTATTAGCTAAAAGATAGATGCAAAGATTGAAAGTCGTTACAGATAAATAGACTTATAGAGATAAAACTAAGATAAGTTTCTGCCATCATTTCAAGCTTGGCTTGGTTGAATATTTCTCTGTCAGGTGAAAGGATCGGAAATTTGAAGACAAAAGTCTGCACATGGAATGGTTTCTGTAGTCAAATAATTGGAGGGTTCTGCCACGGATGGATTGAGTGTACCAGGTTTTAGAATAGAACGAAGACTCCTTTGTTTTGCTTTTATGGCATTGTAGGTTCTGGTGCTTGATAGCCTGCTTCAGTACAGTAGTGCCTTCCTCCACTTCCCTATTGAGAACCCACTCTCATAGCTGGTGCATCTCAGAATTCTTCTTGCAATTCCATCCAAAATGGTGGCTCATAGCCTGTCATATCAGTATCAAAACAAAATTGATGTTGTGTTAATTTCAAATGAGCCATTATTCTACAAGGCAAAATTAATTTTGTTGGAATTTCCTTTCCAATTTGTGTTTGGAAACTCCCAGTTCCCTGTTCTCTCAGGAGTTTTGAACTCTTAAACATTTAGAAGGATCCATTGTGTTGCTACGTGTTAGTTAAACTATAAATGTTTCCTTTTGTGATCGGTCCTGAGATAATATTGTTCAATAGCCTTTGAAAACACAGTGGAACTGACAGTTGTCTGCTGTGCCTATCATCTTGAAAGAACACTTGAAACTTAAAACAAAGAACTGTGGATGTTGGAAATCTGAAACAAAAACGCAGCAGGTCTGGCAGCATCTGTGGAAAGAAAGCAGATTCAATGTTTAAGCTCCAGTGACCATTCGGGACCCTACTGGATCCAAAACTTCGACTCTACTTTCTGTCTACAGATGCTGCCAGACCTAAGGAGTTTCTCCAGCTATTTCAGTTTTGTTTCACTTGAAACTTAATTTAAAGGATTTTCTTTTTAGGTTAGAGATTTTAAAGCTCATGAAGCAGATTTCTTTTAAAAATCTGCAATATCAGAACTTCACAGACATGACACAAAGATGTTTTATAAATATGAAAAGAGAAAGGAAACAAGGGCCCATTCAAGCGAAAAGAAACATGTGTGTGCAGAAGACTTAGAATGGATCATAATGAATACTTAGCATTTGTCTTCCAAAAGGAGGATTGTGCATGCTTGCAGGTATAGGGTTTGATGGTGAATTATCAGCATTCACTTCCATTAGCTCTACAAAACAAACTGCAATGTCAAGACTTAGCAAAAAGATCAAATTAACATGGAAATCCTGAAGATGCAGCCTACTGCTTAGTGTTCCACCCTGTTATGTACTAGGATTTCTACCACTGACCCCCATGCAAAAGGCAGTAATCATTTACGTAAGTCACGTGGTGTAAATTTGACTTTTTCCATTCTCATGTTGCTGTTAGAAACCCCACAAAAAAAATCATGCTTTATTTAATTAAGTGCTACAGCTTTTCATGGCAACATAATCATACCTATTGCTGAACATTCTAGCCCTGAAAAAATAATTTTGTTCTGGTGGAGTGCTGCTAAATCTTACCATTACAATTGTAAGACATTTTAAATTTTTTTTCTGAAAAAAGTATTTTCAGAATATTTCACGTCTACTTTCACCTCTTGTCTTTGTCCTAATCTTTATTTTTCTCCATGTAACATTTTTCGAAAGCTTTTTGATTTTAGTGATACTCATTTCCTGGTTATTTGTCGGTAAGAATGTTTTAATGTGATTAGCTACTTCGACAGCTTAATACATCACTGCAGCTTCATGCTAGGAATCCACATTAAAACAACATTACAATTTACTGAACCCACATATGAGAATAAATATTTCCTACCCAGTCAAATAACAGATAGTCCTCTGGAATAGTATTCAAAAGCTCCTTGTAAATCTCTTGGAGTTCTTCCCCAAGGGTCAACCCACTGTCCAGTTCTTTCATCATTTCTGAGTCCACCTTTAAGAAAATTACAAGAAATACACTTTTGTCACTTAATTCTCATTTCTTTAACAAATAAACTCAACCAATACTAACAGGGACTCTGCACTGTCTATTATGGTTATCGAAAAATCAAAACATTTGCACATTTCAGGTACTGTTAATGCCATATGAAAACTATTCTTTTCTCCTTAACTAAGTAGATTTGAAAATTCAAAGAAGAAACAAAAATGACAAAGAAAGAGTTCATAGACCATAAAATATAGGAGCAATAACAGGCCTTTCAACCTATTAAGTCTGCTCCACAATTCAATGAGATCATGGCTGATCTGATAATCCTCAACTTTTCTTTCCCATGTTTTTCCCATTACCTTACTGACTAAAAATCTGTCTTAAACATGCTTAATGACCCAGACCTACAATTTTTTGTAATAAATAATTCCGTAGATTCACTACCCTCTGCAAGACGAAATTCCTCCTCATCTCTATTAAACGGCGAGTACTTACTCTGAGATTATGCCCTTTGGTCCTAGATTCTTCCAAAGAGAGAAATAATCTCTCAGCATCTGCCTCATCAAGCCTCCAAAGACTTTTCAGTTTCAATGGAACAAAGGAACAGGAGTAGGCCATTCAGTCCTCTCGAAACTGTCCCACTGGTCAATGACATCACGGTTAATCTGTGGCCTAACTCAATATATTCATGACTTTGGCCCATACCCTTTAATATCTTTGCTTAACAAAAAATTACCTATCTCAGATTTAAAATTAGCAACTGATCCATCATCCATTGCCATCTGTGGAACAGAGTTCCAAGCATTTACCATCCTTTGTGTGTAGAAGTGCTTCCTAATATCACTCCTGAATGGCCTGGCCCTGATTCTCAGATTATGGCATCTAGTTCTAGAATCCCGAACTAGTGGGAATAGTCTAACTAACCTGTATTTTTTCTGCTTATATCCTGAAGACTTTGATCAGATTATCCCTTATCCTTCTAAATTGCAGAAAAAAAAAGGCTTAAATTTGTATAAAAACCAGAAGAACTGTAGATGCTGGAAATCAGAAATGAAAACAGAAATTGCTGAAAAGCTAAGTGGATCCTCAGAACCTTTCCTCAGACCCTTCGGTCTCAGGAAGGGTCACTCGACCAGAAAGGTTAACTCCGATTTCTTTCCACAGGTGCTGCCATACCTGTTGAGTTTTCCCAGCAATTTATGTTTTTGTTTCTTAATTTTCATAATCTCTCCTCATAACTTGACTCCTGAAGTCCAGTGCCATTCTTGTAAACTTAGACTGTACTCCTTCCAAGATCAATATATCCTTCCTAAGGTGTAGTGTCTTGATCTGCTCAAAATCCTCCAAATGGGAGTACCATCTGGCAAGTACCCTGTTCAATCCTTTTTCAGTTTGAAATAGATAATTTCATACTTCTTACATTGAACTCCATCTGCCACAATTTTGCCCATTCATATAGTCTGTCAATTCATTTAGTGTATCAAAGGTTTCAGTAAGGTTGCCATTAATTTGTTTATATCCAATGAATAGAGACCAATTTAACCTCTACTCGTAAGAAAATAGTTGGGTTCAACTTAGTAAGTGTTTTTTAGACTGGCTCCGATGCCAAAATATCTTTTCTTAAACAAGGGAATCAAAACTATACACAGTATTCTAGGTGTAGTGTGACTAGTGCTTTACATAGTTTTAGCAAGACTTCCCTATTTTTCTACTGTACTGTCTTTGAAGTAATGTGCAACATTCTATTTGCCTTCACTATTACATGTTGAACCTGTATGCTAGCTTTACTGATTCTTACATGAGGACACCCTAATGTCTCTGTGCAGCTTTGATATGATAATCAGTTCTTCCATTCTTCCTGCCACATTTTCTCACATTATATTCCATTCGCCAAGTTTTTGCCCCCACAGTTAACCTTTCTATAGTCTTTTTGTGTCATCCTCACCACGCGTCTTCCTAACAATGTACTACAGCCAAATCAAGTACAGAAAGATTAACAAAGGGAAAGAAAACTTAGATTAAGACAGCAATAAAGTAGTAAGAACAAAAATATAAATTAAAAATTGACATTTTCAAACACTTCAAAAGCAAGTTATCATCTGTAGGAATGAGACTGCACCAATTTCAGTCATTCCCTTTCTGACTTTGAGGAGTGGATTTACATTAGATTAACAACTAGCACATCGTTAATAATCTTAACTTTGTGATAAGTATAATGGGAAATTAATGTCCAAATCAAACAAGCTCTTCAAAATAACAAGCAATTATGACTAAAATGTCACTTGCATGAAGCAAACGATGAAGTGACCAACTAGTAAGCTTGAATATCTATATATATATATCATTTCTCCTCAACCTTTGAACTTGCTTCATGATCTATCCATTGATAAATGCATGCTTTGTTAAATCACCATTAGTTTCTCGGCAAGATCTGTTACATGCTTTAATCAAAAACAATAATCTTTTTACAATGAATAAATACCTCTCCCTCAATGTGATTGTATACAGCAGGATATATCTGGAGATAGATTGTGTCAATAAACTTTCTGTCTGAAATTCGAACATCTGCTGTTCGTGCTATCATCTTTTTGGACACCCTGATGTTGACAGTGGCAGGCTGTGCATGCTCTGTTCCCTTTCGTCGTATTCTCCGATTTAGTTTCTGTCTTTTCTCTTCCTCCTCAAGTTCCTAAAAAAAAGAAATCTCTTCCATAGATTAATTTGCATCTCGAACAAATGTAATTATTCATGAAATCTGCATTAGAGTTTAATTTTCTTTGCCCTACCCTCAGTTGCAGCCAGGTTATTTAATTTAATTGATTCATGATTTTATTGGGAAGTGAATTATAAATATATCTTGGGCAAATCAGAACTAATGCTCAGCTCCTGTACAATTTATTCCTTCAATGTCCATGCAGGGTAGTTTATTAAAAATGATCTATTCAGAAGAATAATGCATTGTCTTACTCAGTTCAAGTCTTCCTTTTGAAATATTCATCTTGTTAAAATACTGATTATTTGGACACCATATATAAAGTAATGCATATAATGTACATCATTAAAACAACTACTATTTTTCAATTGTGTTACACATTTGGGTTGAATATTAGGATCTAGGAATAGTTATTGATAGTGATTATTAAATACTTCAGAAACCACAAAGTACCAGATGCTGGGATCATTAAAAGTGTACAATGCATCTGGCAGGGCTTAAATTAAATAAGATGTGAATAGAATTAGTGACAATGTATATGTGCATTAGGAACAAGTATAACTTTTGCACTTAACTAGGGAAAGGGCAATAGTGTTGCAAAGTGGGCAAGAAATGCTGGCTCAGCCGGTGATATCCTCATGCCATCAGCAAATTTTTAAAAATCTTTTACTCTTGGAACATTGATTCAAAATCAGTCAAGACTGTAAGAATATGATATTCTCTCTGATGGCTGCAAAGGCCCAATATCACATCACTTGGTAGTCTCAAATTTGTTTCCAGCCAGTCCAAACCTACAACATAAAACAGATCCTAGTGTGACACAACCCCAATTTGCCCCAAGGCTGCAGTAGCAATAATTGCTCTATAGCAGTGGTCATGCCATGTGCATCAAGCCATCCCATATCTGATGCCGATGCTCGGTGGGAGAACTTTAAGAATTACAATGCTCTTTTGCAACACACGTGTTCATAACTAAAGCCTTGCTGGAAGGTTTTCTAACTAAAGCACTGCAGCCAAAAAAACACAAATGAAAGACATATCTGCAAGTGGCACACTGATACTTCATTAAATACATCTAACATAGTATTTGTTTCTACCATATAATTTGCACTTATGTACTGTTATGATTCCTGAATAGATTGATAACTTTTGAAATTATATTTAATTTTCCAATGATTGACTGCAAGATCACACAAGAATTCAAGTTTGAAGATCTTTACTGTAACAAACAAGCTAAAAGCAACATTGTTTAAACATCAATCAGCAGGCAAATTATAGTCTAAATTACAGCAAAAGAAACTCCCCGTTTAACTTCCAATGTAACCAAACATCCTATGCCATGGATATATGTTATGCTGTCCCTTCTTTATTGTCCAGGAGCCAGTCCATATTTATGCTCAGTTCCTGATGATTTCTTTTCTTTTCCTAGACAGCCATCTGCTAATCTCAGGAATGACTCCAGTTTACACTGGGGAATAGGAGATAGTAGGAACTGCAGATGCTGGAGAATCCGAGACAACAAGGTGCAGGGCTGGATGAACACAGCAGGCCAAGCAGCATCATAGGAGCAGAGAGGCTGACGTTTCGGGCCTAGACCCTTCATCAGAAAAGGGGGAGGGGAAGGGGGTTTTGAAATAAATAGGGAGAGAGTGGGAGGCGGATAGAAGAGGGATAGAGGAGAGGATAGGTGGAGAGGAAACAAACAGGTCGAAGAGGCGGGGATGGGGCCAGGAAAGGTGAGTGTAGGTAGGGAGTTAGGAAGGGGATAGGTCAGTCCAGGGAGGACGGACAGGTCAAGGGGGCGGGATGAGGTAGGTCGGTAGGAGATGGAGGTGCGGCTTGAGGTGGGAGGAGGGGATAGGTGGGAGGAAGAACAGGTTAGGGAGGCAGGGACGAGCTGGACTGGTTTTGGGATGCGGTGGGGGGAGGGGAGATTTTGAAACTTGTGAAATCCACATTGATACCATTGGGCTGCAGGGTTCCCAAGCGGAATATGAGTTGCTGTTCCTGCAACCTTCGGGTGGCATCGTTGTGGCACTGCAGGAGGCCCAGGATGGACATGTCGTCTGAGGAATGGGAGGGGGAGTTGAAATGGTTCGCGACTGGGAGGTGCAGTTGTTTGTTGCGAATGGAGCGTAGGTGTTCTGCAAAGCGGTCCCCGAGTCTCCGCTTGGTTTCCCCGATGTAGAGGAAGCCACACCGGGTACAGCGGATGCAGTATACCACATTGGCAGATGTGCAGGTGAACATCTGCTTGATGTGGAAAGTCTTCTTGGGGCCTGGGATGGGGGTGAGGGAGGAGGTATGGGGGCAGGTGTAGCACTTCCTGCGGTTGCAGGGAAAAGTGCCGGGTGTGGTGGAGCTGGAGGGGAGTGTGGAGCGGACAAGGGAGTCACGGAGAGAGTTGTCCCTCCGGAAAGCAGATAAAGGTGGGGAGGGAAAGATGTCTTTGGTGGTGGGGTCGGATTGCAGATGGCGGAAGTGTCGGAGGATGATGCGTTGGATCCGGAGGTTGGTGGGGTGGTACGTGAGGACGAGGGGGATTCTTTTTTGGTTTTTATTGCGTGGACGGGGTGTGAGGGATGAGGTGCGGGAGATGTGGGAGACACGGTTGAGGGCGTTCTCGACCACCGAGGAGGGGAAGTTACGGTCCTTGAAAAACGAGGACAACTGAGATGTACGGGAGTGGAATGCCTCATCCTGGGAGCAGATGCGGCGGAGGCGAAGGAATTGGGAATAGGGGATAGCATTTTTGCAGGAAGGTGGGTGGGAGGAGGAGTATTCTAGGTAGCTGTGGGAGTCGGTGGGCTTACTTCACTCCAGCCCAAGCTAGGGCTACCAGCCTCCTTCAAGTCTTCATTTACCTGGTCTCCTCAATGTGAGTGTGAACTCCCACCACACACCCACCCCAAGGTCTGCATGTTGAATCAACAAACTCAGTATTTTCTTTGCTTCGGGTGCAGGACTGCTGCCTCCATCTCCTGCTCTCTGTCTCTCAGACGGCTGAAAATTTACTTATGTTGTAAGAAACTGAAATCCAATATGATTACTGTACTCTGTTGACCCTTCTGCTCTCAAAGTTTATCACCATGACAATGTGAATCACATACCCTGGTAGAAATAATAATGGACCATCTTCTTAACACCAAATTCCATTCTCCCTTGGAATTAAACTGACAGCTGAAATCATATTTGATTATAAAACCTGACAATTTTAACATTTGCCTGCGAGTCTTGGAGACTAACCATTTTTCAGTCAATTTAACTGCTCTTCTCGTTGTCTACGAGTGTGAACATCTTGTACCTTTTTCACAGTATGTCAACCAGGGCAATCCAAGCTCATAGAAAGAAGACTATTGTTGGTTGTTGAGTAGAATTCAAAGACTCCTTCATCATTCCATCTTACCTTAAATTAAACAGGCAGTTCCAAAAAAAAACAACCTTACAAACATTTAATTCATAACAGTACCATCAGTATTTTCTCTTGCGTGTATTTTTTAACTTCCTGAGTCTGATCATATGTGAGTGCTTGAATCAGGGGAGGAAGGCTTGTTTCAGGATCACTGTCTCCTCCGTCTGGAGTGGAAGTTTCCAACAGCCTATATAAAGGTAATAAATATGTTACACAAATTATATTCATTGATTATAAAAATTAAAATTTTGATATTCGAGACATTGTGTTGGATCTCCTTGTTTTTGGTTGACCCAATTACACCATCCTATAGCAAATATGTCAAGGATGTCTTCCCTGGTGCATATACAAAATGGAGTTTTTGGTCATGTCGGGTTACCAATTCCCATTGTTTTATCTGCTCTCCGAAATGACTCTCTCAAACAGAAACATTGATCCAAGTCCAACAGGGTAGGGAGGAAAGATATGATCCAGATCTAATGTTGGGAGAAGGATAGAGTATTTAATCTTCATCCAAGCAGATGTGAAAGTGGTGCAAGGCTCAGAGAGAACATAATCTCAAACTGAGGGGAACAATTTGGGTCAATGGAGAAACAAAGGCTAAGACCCCAACTACATCACAGGCATGACCCCTGAAGACTTGCACTCCAGACCTAGCTCTGCCCCTCACAAACCTGTCCCAGTACAATCACAAGAAACACAAGTAACTTACAAACTGGAAACGTATCCTGGTATGCCATATTTACAATGAACAGGAAAAATCCAAGCTACCTAATTACCACATCATCAGTCAAACAAGGTGTGACTACACCATGGCATTGAGAATATAGTCAGGGTAGTTAAAAAGGTGTTTGGCATGCTTGCCTTCATTGCTCAGCCCTTTCAGTATAGGAGTTGAGAAGTCATGTTGAGGTTTTACAGGATATTGGTGAGGTCTCTTCTGGAATACCATGTCCAGTTCTGGTCACCCAGTTATAGGAAGGATATTATCAAGCTGGACAGGGGTCAGAACAGACTTGCCATAATGTTGCTGGGTATAGAAGGTTTGAGTAATAAAGGAAGGTTGGATGGGTAGGGACTTTTCCACTGGAGGTTGAGACACGACTTGATAGAATTTTGTAAAGTAATGAGAGGTATAGATAAAGTTAATGGTCGTTGTCTTTTCTCTGGGATGGGGGACTTCAAGAGGGTGGGCACATTTTTAAGGTGAGAGGAGAGAGATTTAAAAAAGATATGAGGCAAATTTTTTTACACAGAGGTTGGTTCGTGTGTGGAATGAACTTCCGGAGGAAGTGGTGGATGTGCTTACAATTACAATGTTTAAAAGATGTTTGGATACATACATGAATAGGAAGGGTTTGGAGAGATATGGGCCAGGAGCAGGCAAGTGGGACTAGTTTAGTTTGGGATTATGTTTGGCACGGATTGGTTGGACCAAAGGTCTGTTTCTGTGCTGTATGACTCTTCAACTCTAAGAAGTGTATTTTGTCTGGTTTCTTTTTATATAGAAAGGTTGAGACAAAAGTGTCAAGAGGTCTTCTCAAAGCCAATAAAGTAAACAGCTTGTGAGGCCTTAGGTGTTTTTTTTTGTAAGAGTTGGAACAATAGAAGCAAACTGAATGGATGGGGTCAAGCTCCCATAGAACCAGGAATTTTAGTTTTAGCTTTCTGCAGTTGCTGGGATTTTGAAGCTGGATGCGGAAGCTCTTATTCCTCTCTCTGTTACATAAGAAAGCTGGGGTTCACTTCCTGCTGCTAGAATAGCATGAGAGGCAATCGATTTTACAGAATTTGCCTTGGCCAAGTGTGTGTTTATGGGATGTTACTACATTGGAATAGTTAAGTAGTAGTACTTTATATACACATACATACATATATTTACGGGGCGGCACGGTGGCTCAGTGGTTAGCACTGCTGCCTCACAGCGCCAGGGACCCGGGTTTGATTCCACCCTCGGGCGACTGTCTGTATGGAGTTTGCACATTCTCCCCATGTCTGCGTGCGATTCCAGGTTTGAGGTGATAAAGTGGCAAATCACATTGGTGTCACACCACAAGCCCTGATTATTTGTCATATTCAATTAGAGAAAATCCAATCATCTCCTGTTGGTGTTCAATACCATTACCACCATTGAATCAATCACTATCAACATCTTGGGGGCTTACTATTGACAAAAGCTGAACTGGAACAGCCATTTAAATGCAGGTCAGAGATAATGAATTCTAAGGCCAGTAATTCTTATATTGCCTCCCCAGCGCCTACTATTCATAAGCCACAAGTCAGAAGTGAGATGAAATACTCTCCACTTGCCTGGACAGGCACAGCTAGAAACACAAGGTAATATTATTCAAGTAAAAACAGCCAACTTGATCACTACCCCATCCCACACTTTCAACATTCATTCCCTTCAACACTGACATACAGTGATAATATTTACAAAATGTACTGCAACAATTCACCAAGAGAATTTCAACGGCACTATCTGAACATATGTCTTCCACCACTTGGAAGGTCAGGGCAGCAAATGGATGGAAACAGCCCAATCCCTAAGTCCCCTTCTGACGATGTACCATCTTGACTTGTAAATATATAGCCTTTCTTTCACTGTTGTAGGGTGAAAATCCGGGAACTCCCTCCCCAGTAGCACTGTGGGTGTACCTACACCCCAAGTGCTGTAGCTTTTGAGACCAATTCCTTCTGAAGGGCAATTAGGTGTGACACCCACATTCTATTCACAATCCATGAACTGACGAGTTTATTAAAAGCCAACTTTTGTTAAATTGTCTCAACTTTTTCCAAGGGATTTTACAGCAAAGCTAATAGCACAAAAGTTGACGTTTGTAATAATTCACTTGATACCATATAATGTCTGCCTATACGGTCTTCAACATTTGACCCTATGGAGGACCAAGGAATCACCCTCAGCAAACTGAGCCTGACAGCCCCATAGGACTGAGATCAATCAATTAAACATCTTAGAACATTAAGGGATACAAGGATAGCTCAGCTGTGCCAAAATCCAATTTCTGTGTGTTCAAGTGTATCAGGGATACTGGCAGTGAGTGTGGGTAGGTGGCAATATTCAATTCTGCCCAGCAACAGAGGGCAAGGCTTATTGCAAGGCTCCTAATAGATGACACAGATGTCTTCGAGGATCACTGAACAGGAGTTCAAAGAAGACACACATTTATGTTAAGGAGACAAAGAGTAGGCTCTCAAATAAATCCACAGACGCTGGTATCCATCACCATGCCAGCCTTTAATTACACATGAGCAGCCCTTGACTTTAGTACTGCCTCATTCAGAGCCAGCTACCAGAGTGTCCACATCTCTGACATTCCCCTTTTTATCTGTCAGCCAGGGTTCCCAGATTGGACCACATTAACAGCCCCAATCAGGGAACTCATATTCTATGAGACCCAGCTGGCTGATCTCGTTACAATCACTCCAGACTCCATGTTGTAAGTGCTGATTTTTGGTTAACCTGCAAGAAAGGGAACTGAATGATATGGATCCTGTGCAGGGACTGTGAGTAAATCCCAGTAGCAGTTGGATATCTGCTCTGCTAGAACTCTGGCCACATTATAAGATTTATTAGGCAGATAGATGTTGCATTCAGGGCATAGGGAAAATCCAGGAGATTATGGACAGCTCAAAAGTAGTTGAGTGCCACTCATAGGTAAATATATAAGAATTGAGACAGAAAAGCCAACAAGCAATATCTGCTTGAGTCAACTGGGTAAAATTAGAACACAGGGAAAACACAGAAAAGATCTAGATCGAAGAGCTGTTAGCGAAGAGCTGGAGCTGTGCCTGGAACTATGAACTGGAGTGAAGTTTTCAGGGTCCAGGGGAGCAGTGATCCAGAAAAGGAGCCGTCAGTGAGACAGTCCATGATGGAGAGACTCTTGAGATGGAGTTTCAAGGCCAGATTAGCAAACATGAAGAATTATAATCTCTTGTGAAGCTTAATGCGATCTGTTGGCCCCACTTGGTGAAGGCACTGCTTCCTCAGAGGAACACAGTCAGAGACAGGTTTGTAGGACTATGAGTGGCTCAGCTGTACTGCAGCAAAGGAATAAGCAAGGAAAAGCAATAGCAGTCAGGGATTCATTAATTAGGGGAACGGTCAGATGTTTCTGCAGCTATAGAAGTCACTCAAGTACAGTATGTGGCCTCCCTGGTACGAGAATCAAGGATCACAGTTTGGCTTCATGGAGATGACAAACAACCAGAGGTCATGGTCCACATTGGCTATAATGCATTGGGTAGAAAAGGTGACGTCAGCCTGCAAACAGAATTTCGGAAGCAAGCTAACAAAAATAGGCAGCAGCAGGACCTCAAAAGTAGTCATCTCTGGATTACTCCAATTGGAGAATAAAGCACATAAAACATGGTTGGAAATATGGTACAGGAGAAAGAGATTTAGAAGGACACTGGCACCAGAGGACATGACTCCTGCACAAGCCAGGTGCATTGCGGCCAAACAGAGCATGGAGTCAATACTTGCATGCATTTGGCTAGTGCTGTTGGACACTACCTCTGCAGGGTCCGAGACCAGGAAATAATTTCAGGGAGGAATATCGGGGAGCACAGAATACTGGGAGAAACAGGTAGCAGTAGATTAGGCAATAGTAACATAACAGATGAAGTCTAAGTAAGGGACAAAGAAATGAAGTCTAAATCAGGGTTATATTGTAGGTATGTGAATGTACCAAGTACGGTAAATACAAATGATTAGCTGCAGGTTTAGATTATCATGTGGAATTAGAATGTTGTGACGATAACATTGACGTGACTCTAGGAATGTCAAGTCTGGAAGTTAAAAAAATTCTGGTTACAAGGTATTCAGAAAAAATAGGAAAGGAAGAAGAGGAGAATGGTGGCAGTATTGGTTAAGGAGAGCATTGCAGCGCTGGAGAATGAGGTCCCACAGTGTCCAAGGACAGAAGCAATTGGCTAAAGTGTATAATTACATTGCTCGATATAGCCTACAGACAATCATCTAATAGAAAGGTTTTAGAGGAACAAATGTGCAGGGAAATTACAGAAGTGGAAATATTTTACAGTAGTTAGAATGGAGGATTTTAACTACTACAAAACAGATGGGGATAGTCGTACTGTAAAAGGAACAGTGCGGGAAGTGTTCATAGGTTGTACTCAGGAGAATTCTCTATATAGCAGCAGATGTCCAGTTCAACAAGAAAAGCAGGCACTGATGGATCAAGGTTCTTGGAAATGTGGTAAGCCATGAATGTGAAGTAGTAACGGGGGAATACCCAACAGACAATGCTCATTGTATCATAAGGTCTAGGCCAATGGTAGAGAAGGTCAGTGCCCAATCCAGAATAACAACAATAAACTGGGGACAGCCAACTTCAATGGGGCAAGAATGGAGCTAGGCTGGATAGACTGCAACCAAAGGTTGGTGGATAAAACTGTAGCTGAACAATGGGCTACCTTCCAAAACAAAGAAACAGTTCTGGCACAGTCAAGGAATACTCCTTCAAAAAGGAAAGATCAGGCAAAGAAACACAAATCTCCCTGGATGAGAAAGCACATAGAAATTGATGAAGAAGTTCGCTTATGACGCATCAGTTCAAAAATACAATTGAGAATCAAACTGAATATAAAAGTTTCTTAGGTATAAAAAAAAAGAGAGATCATGAATAGAGACTGACAGGACACCCCAGAGCCTAATCTGCACCAAGCCCTCAGGACCAGGACTATACCAAGGCTCTGTGCTATAAAGTGAGGGTATGGTCAATTTTATCATACCCTGATAAACTCCAAAGGATTAATACTTTGCACATTTTTCATAGGTTTTGCTGAATATCTGAGGCTATAATAATATTATTGGATATAATGATATTTTGGCAAGAGAAGTTAAAGAATAGTTTGTTTAAATTTTAAAATGCTAATAATTCACCTTTGGGTCTTTTCAACAGATGGAATGCCATAACAGAACATGGCAGGCTGAAGTATATAAAAAGCTTTTACTTCATTGTGCTTCACAGAATTATTATTCACAAATCAATTTTATAGTTTCATAACTAATGCAAAAAATACATCATTTATCAAATACAAGTTCAATAGTGAATGTTATTCAGGAACTAAATCGGATGAAATAGATGTTCTATTTGATGGTCTCGAACTACCATTCCAACCCCACTCTGTAGCAACTTTAAATGAGCTGTTCTAACAGCTGCCTCAGTAATATAAGCTAATCAAAACCTTATAACATACATCGGGCTCTGAAGTGATTTTAGTGACCTAGTGAGCAATGCACAGCCTGTAAGGGAAGAAGTAGTGACAGGAAGAGGCATTATAGTATTGCTCCATCCATGTCTGGGCCTGAGCTGCTTCACAATATTCTCCATGTTGACTCACTATATTCCACACCCTACCCTCACCTTTTCCACTTGCTAGCGTGCAATTTCTCATTACTGACAGCCAGCAATCATCCAACCTCCTCTAAGTGAAGGTCAGTGCAAAGCAAATTCAGTTAATCACAGCTGAGGCCTGGAGTCCAGTGGGGTTGGGATGGGAAGGAATGAAGCCCGAGAGTCATAAGATCTTGTGGGGGAAGAATCAGATGCAAGGGGTGCAGTATCATGGAATCCCCACAGTGTGGAAGCAGGCCAATCAGCCCATCGAGTTCACATCGACCTTTCGAAGAGCATCCGACCCAGATCCAGCCCCCTACCCTAACCCTGCATTGCCCATGGCTAACGACCTAACCTGCACATCCTTGGACCCTACGGGGCAATTTAGGATTGGGACAAAGCAGGCTGATCACCTGTTTTAGTGTGATCTTCACACAAGTTCATGAAAATGAGATCACTTGTGATTGCAAGCATTGTATGGGTAAGATTTTTGCAGCAGTTTTGGAGTGTACTTTGATTTAATAAAGAACATTCGGGGAAAAAAAAACACCACTGTCCTACCAAACTGTACAACTGCTCTCTCGTAAGAGAGAGAGAGGAGTGGTAGTGGTTTAACATTAGTGTCCCCACCCCTCAGACTAGGGGAGAGATTGAGAAGGCCAGTCTTTTATGGTAACCTCAGCTGCAGCAGGAATTATCATAGAATCCCTACAGTGTTGAAGCAGGCCATTGTGCCCATCAAGTCACACTGACCCTCCAAAGAGCATCCCACCCAGACCCACCCCCTACCCTATCCCTACACTTCCCACCCTAGGCACTATGGGCAATTTAGCATAGCCAATCCACCTAACCTGCACATCTTTGGACTGCGGGAGGAAACTAGGGCATCCACAGGAAACTCAGGCAGACATGGGGAGAATGTGCAAACTCCACACAGACAGTCGCTTGAGGCTGGAATCGAACCCAGATCCCTGGCGCTGTGAGGCAGCAGTGCTAAGCACTGAGCCACCATGCCGCCCCACACTGTTGACGTCACTTTGCATTGCAAATGAATCATCCAGCCAACTGAGCTAATCATTAACATTTGGTATATTCCATTGTTAAAACTGCCTTTTTTTTTGATATACACAGTAAACTCAGTGAATTAAAGAAAATGGGAATAAAAGCCTACAATATCACTGAGTAGGGCAATTTAGTTAACATAGTAGTGCTTACTTCTGGAGATCATCAGCAACTGATGAATATTTTTGATTATTTCTTTCAGATTTTGGGACTCTGTCGAAGCTCTGCAAACCAGAAGTATATCCAATGGTACCAAGATCCTCTGCAAAAAATGTTCCTATTCTTAGATTTGGATTGGGTTGCAAACTCTGAAAAATAAAGAGCGTATGTAGTAAATCATTCTATTTCTAATAGGTCTCATTCACCTACATTATCTTTCTGTGAATGGTCAAATCAACAGAAGTAATAAGCATCTCACTATGAGACATTAATGTGACATATTTAAACTGCTAGATTAGAATTTCCAAGCCCCAGAAACAACTGGTCAAAGCTCTTATAGAGTCACAGAGTCATACGGCATGGAAACTGACCCTTTGGTCCAACCATTTCATACCAAACATAATCACAAACTAAATTAGTCCCACCTGCCTGCTCTTGGCCCATATCCCTCCAAACCTTTCCTATTCATGTACTTATCCAAGTGTTTCTCACCAACACAAGTCAATTGTGGTCCAGTTTTAAACCCCTGATATTTCCCTGACTCTTGAAATGATACCAGAACTATAAATAGTTGTGAATATGATTTTAAATAACTTCCCATTATGAATATTACCTTTAGATTTATATGCTGCTCTTGCTGTAAATATTTTATTAATAGTTGTTCTTTTTGCTCCTTTGAAAGAGTAGAGGTTCGTACTGCAGCAACTATAAACAGAAGAGACAATGTTAAACTTGGTTAGACATTTGTGAAGATAGTGCTTGAAAAATATTTCATGATCAGTCTGTTAGATCAGCCAAGCAATGAATAATAGTTCAGACGAATTTTTTTTAAATAGTTGAAATTTCCCATGCCAGGACCAATAGCAGGATCTGTAATTTCAGTAATGGCCAGCATTTTACCAGCAGTGACCAGAGACCAACGTCCAATGAGGGCAGCAACCTGCCTCACAAAGCTACCAGCTGCAGGTTGAAGAGTATTTCCATGATGATGCATATTAAAAGACAGGTATGTTTATTTTAAAGAGACAGGAAGGCAGGCCCTTACCATCAGGGTTAGGGTTTCAAGTTCACCATCGAACAGGTGGGCCAATCACATTCATAGTTTATGAAAGAGCTATAAAGAGGTCCCATTACATCCAGTGAACCCACTGGGAGAGAGATTATGAGGATACGTCAGTTGATGTAGTGTAAGTGCACTTCAAAAAGACATTTTGAAAAATGATACATAATAGGCTTGCCAAGAAAATGATGCCCATGCAATAAAAACGCCAGATACTGATGGGGAAATAGACTAGCAGTGAATGGGTGCTTTTGAACAAAAGGGAAAGTAAAAAATGAATGACTTAGACCTGAGTGTACAGGACCTAATTTCAAAACCAAAACCTTAGAATATTGTTAATTATTTCTATTGTCAACTATTCGGAAAGGGAAATGAATGGGCTCTTGAAAGAAATAGAACTGCATTCAGAGGGGATCAAGAGAGAGATGGGAGGCTTTGGATTGCTCCACTGGGAACCAGCATGGACTCAATGTGCTGAATGACCTTTTACAATGCTGCATATGACTTTGACTCTGACTCTCAACACACGCCCCTCCTAATTCTAGCCTTCCTGCTTCCGAGCCCATCACCACAGGACTAGTCAAATTCAGCAATGCGTATCTACTTTCACAAGAACATATGAGCAAGAGTAGGCCATTTAATGCCAGAAGCCTATTATACCATTCAACGAGATAATGGCTAATCTGCAATTTAACTCCACATATCCATGCCTGATTCAATTTCTTAATAGCTTCGGTTAACAAAAGTCTACTACCCTGATTTTAAATTTATAGTTTATTTAATATCGATTACTATCTGCATAAAAGTATTTTAAACTGCTGCCATTCTTTTTGTGCAGATGTGCAGAATTTATTTGAGACGGAAGCGGTATTACCAGTTTTAGCAGGTATGAAAGTGGATAAATCCTCAGGTCCAGATGAGATATACCCAAAGCTAATGTGGGAGGCAACAAAGTAGATGCAGAGGATCTGACATTAATTTTCAAATCCTCTCTGGCTACAGGAGGATACCAGAAGTCTAGAAGTCAGGTAACATGGGGTGTTAGGAATAAACCAGGAATCTACAGGCCTATGAGTCTCACATCGGTGACAGGGAAACTATTGGAAAAATCTGACTGACAGGATTAATCTGCACTTGGAGAGGCAAGGATTAAACGAGGATAGTCAGTATTGCTTTGTAAAGGTGGGACTCATGTCTACACCTTTGATTAAATTTTTGAGAAGGTGACCAGGTCCGTAGTGCAGTTGATCTAGTTTACATGGACCAAATCAAAGTCTGTTCTAGAATTGGTATCTCCTGTTCAAATTCAGGTATTAGGTGCTCCTGACTGATACCAAGTCTTACCAGTTAATTACCTCTATGAATTAATACAAGCCTCCATATAGTCTTTGTGCTAAATTTGATAGAAATTATTTGTCATTTTAAATATTTTTCTAGTAATGCCTTTTCTTCCTCTTCCCGACATTTCCACAAAGTCTATTCCACAGTAATAAACATTTTTGAATAAAAACAGAAGTTGCTAGAAAAGCTCAGCAGGTCTCGCAGCATCTGCGAAGAAAAAATCAGAGTTAATGTTTCCGGTCTGGTGACCCTTCACGGGACCGAAACGTTAACTCTGATTTTTTCCTTCATAGATGCTGCCAGACCTGCTGAGCTTTTCCAGCAACTTCTGTTTTTGTTCCTGATTTACAGCATCCGCAGTTCTCATGGTTTTATAAATCATTTTGAGGTTGTTTGAGTGATATCCGTTTCTAAGACTCCTGTGTTACACTTAAGGCAACCACTAAGCAACATACACAAAATGCCAAAAGTAATCACTCTCAGCTTTTCATTTATTTCTACAAACATTGTATCTTCTCTGCTTGGCCCTTTCCCCTTGGTGACCAATACAGGTGATCCCTGATTCATGAACATCCAACTCACAAACAAGATCTCATAGTAATATTAATTTTAAGGATCCAACATGCAAATATTTGCTTGTACTGACAAATGACTATTTAACATCACATTGTATTATTTTCCAACTTCTGGCCAAAACAATTTATGAACGTACTCAGGAACGGAACCCGTTTGTAAGCTGGGGACTGCTGTATTAAAAACATTGTGTGTACAATCCTCATACTGCTGATCATAGCACGGCTGGTAGAGTGGAAGCAGACTACACCACCATGTGAATTTAAACATGTCATTTTAAAAATATTTACGTAGAATGATTGTTAATTGTATATCCATTGGATTTAATTATATGCAGTGGAGGACATATGGGCTTTAACTTGAGCAGATATAAAGAGAAGTTCACAAACTACAATGTATTTGAGTTAACGGAGATTTGGTAGTAACATTTTTGTACTGTTTCACTTTGTAAATAAATATTAGACTAAATAAAAATTGCCTCCTGTACTATCCAACTGGCATTTTGCAATTTAACACTAATCGAAATTCAGAAGAGTTGGGATCAAGATTGGAGTTAGAAAACAGTAATGGCTCCATTTTTGTGCTCAAGCAGTTGCCATTGACCTCAAGGAAAGCTGGCTGCAAAAGTTTAGTGATCCTTCCAGTTTAATGTTGTCCTTTCTGATAACAATTGAAATCTTGAGCCAAGACGAAAGGGATAGAATAACATCCAGCAGCAGTGATTTTAGCCAGCAGGTAAGGAATCATTCACATCTGAGTATTTGCATGTAGCAAACCAGTGAGTTAAAAGCATTTTATATACTTGTAATTTAAGATTTTTGTGAAATAAATTATTATTATTGGACTAAGTCAAGATTCCTAATCCTGACGATTTCGCCATTATTATTACAGTATATCTGAGCCATTGCTAAATGCTTACTTTCCATTTGCCTACGATCAACAGCTGATTCAATTCGATGCGGGAACATATTATAAACTTGTGCTTTGTTCAGCTCTGGCATATTTTCATCGATCTGTTAAAAAAAATTACACAAGTGTTGGAAGAAAATAGAGAATTCACCTTACATTTAGTTGAACAAAGATCTACATTCATAATTTAATAAATGACTAACCTCTTGAAGATCTGTTTCTATAGTTTGTTCTCGTGGTGGTGGTGTTTTCTTAGGTCGGCTGAGACTGAAAAGCTGCTTCATTGAAAAGTTGGCTTCAGGAGACATTGATTTTCTAACCATATGTTTATATCTTTTTAAATATTCAATTTCAGATTCTTCATCAACAACATCTGTCGATTTGCGTGAAGCCTTGATTTCTCTAGATATCCAACGCTTTATAGCTGATAAATTCAAACTTTGAAAAAAATCATCAGAAAAATACAGTTGAAAACAAACCAAAGTCTAATACTTAAATCATTATTTCTATAATGTCAGACTTCTTCTCCTCTCTGTAATTTTCTCATTACTCTGATCCGAACATTTCTGTGCAATATTTTCAAAATAGCAATACAGAGGTAGACGTTTAAATTCCATCATAATAAATTTTGAAATCAAATTCAGCATACAGTAATATAGTAACTAGCAAAGTAAATCCTGGTTGCTAGATTGGCAGAAAATCACATGCTGGTTCATTAAATCTATCATCCAATGACTAGTGCTGCTGGTAACTGGTCTGAATCACAAGTGATTCATGTATCTAGCTGATTGACAACTTAAGATTCTGAGAAGTGATCTTGCAAGTTACTGAATTGTACAGATTATAAACCAATGGGGAAGAAGGTCCATTAGCAAAGAACTGGCTGAAGGAGGACAAAAAGGATTAACAGATATAATTAAACAATAAATGCAATCATCTCAGAAGAGAAAAGGAAAAGTTTTCTTGCTCACTAAAGTACATTATGCAGTTTGTGAATTACAGCCATTTTTCTCCTTACCTGCACTTCTTCAATCTTCCATATTTGTTTGTGCCTATCCTCTATAGTCCATCAACTATGAATGTATTTAAGCTACCATACGTCATAGAAAATTATAACTCAAGCAACTTGAATAAGTGGTGCAAACAGTCAGACAGTTACCACACAGTTGCCATTCAAATATGAATCAACAGAATTGGAGGGGGAGGAAGGGAAAGGAAAGAAAATGCACAACATGTGTATTTGAGGTACTCACCTTCAGAAACATTAGCACCTCAACAGTATCACAATGAAATAACACAAACCTATGTACACATTTACCTTACAGGTGGTTCCATCACTTGCGAAAGATAAAAATATAAATGGTAACATGTTTTCTATTAATATTAAGCAGATAACTAAGATTAGCTTCAAACAAGCTCTTAACTAAGATAATTTATTCAAACACATATTCTAGTCACCAAAGACCAAGGGAGACATCAAAGCATTTACAGGCTGGCATTGAGAAGAGTCACTGGGTTCATTCTTATTGACAATAAGTTAAGTTACAAAGAAAAACTGGAGAAACCTGGGCTTCTCTTCTTGAAAGAGAAGGAACCTACTGAGGTATGATTTTATAGAAGCATTGAATATAATTAAAGGAATGTGAAAAGCAAATTTAAAATAATTAAAATTTAAATTATGAATAGGGCAAAAGAGGACAATGGTTCAGATGAATAAATTGTAAATTTAGCACTGTTATCAAGGTCTTCATAAAAAAGAATAATCAACATTTAGTATTGAGTTTCGAAATGGGTCATCAAGTTAATAATCTTGAAATCATTTACAAAAAAACGAGATAGGACAATGAATGGAATGAATAGATGAATTACGATGAGCCAAATGAGCTCTTTCACCCCTAATCTGTAACACTGTATTAACTCAATTATTTGTTTTTTGATTTGTAAGAATTGAATATAAATAACTGCTGGCCATCATATACTTTTTAACTGTAGTATGAAAATTGCAAAACATTTTGTCATATCTCATTATAAATTAACTAGTTGTGCAAACTTTTGTTGCAACTCAAACTATTTTCTATAGTTGGATTTTATGTAACAACATTATAAAACAAAGCAGAAAAGAATACAAACAGGTGCATTAAAACAGTAAGGCCATGCTTATCTAAGTTGAAAAACTTACAATTTTGTGCAGTCCACGGTAAGCTGAGCCTTTAGTCTACTAAGATTAGCTTCATCAGTGAATATGGAGCGCCGTCTTACTACATCCACCATTTGAAGATAGTGAAGGAATAACTGTTCACAGACAGTGATGATGTGTGTAGTAATTCGTCGGCTGAGTTCTTTGTTTTCCAGGTTTGTCAAAGTAATGTCATCAGAATGGTGCATAAACTCCTCCCAAAGCATCTTTACATCTGCTAAAATCATTCCTCCCTAACAATAACAATTCCAACTTCAAATTAATCTGGTCAGAAGCACAGTATACTTTTAAAATAATATTGCATAATTAGTTCAAAAGAGGTACTGCAAACTTTTAATTAACTGGCACCTGTGGGATCAGGAATGTACTGATTGATCAAATACTCAGATTGATGAACAGGTCGAAATAATCAATGTAAACACACACATTAATACAGCGGTCATACTCATCACTGTCATACTTTATTCACAGCATAAATCACTTAAATAATAATGCAGCTTTGCCTTAAATAAAACTTACCGGCCTTACAGAGCCTCCTCAAGCACCATCAACTGACTACTTGGACATCACGATAATATAGTAAACTTCTGGTATTTGAGGTACATAATTTTTGCCAGTTTATCAAGAGTGCTAGTTCGTAAAGTGCCAGTTAAAACAAAGTTTGCTGTACTTGCTTTCTCTATATTAAAATTCATTGTTTTCCCAAAAAAATAAACTGGTAAATGAAATTTCTAATGTGATTTGGTGAGAAACAAACCAAAGATCCAACAAATGATCATTGGTTTGTAATATGTTTGCAAGTTTGAGCAATGCAAAATAGTAGAGTCTATATGACTTCACAGTTGCACAATGGCATAGAGAATAGTTAGGGTTCCCTCACCCAATCACTCCTGAAGAAGCTCTGAAGAAGTTATATTGGACTTGAAACATTAACTCAATTTTGCTCTCCACAGATAATGCAAGAATGAGTTCATCCAGCACTATTTGTTTTTATTCCTAATCATCATTCATGAGTCTCATGAGAAATCAATTTTGAAGAATGATAACATCAGGTTCAGCTGCGTCAATTCTCAAACCCCAACAGCCTACTAACATGCCACCAAAATCAGACAATAAAATGAATCCAACATGTAATGTCAAACATTAAAAAGCATGAATAAAATGCAAACGACTGTCAAAGCTGGACATCTGAATCAGAAAACATAAAATCAACACATGCAGAGAGATCAGGGAGTTCATATCAGATTCACATCTTTAACAATATTGGGATGAAAGATATCAATGCAAAACATTGACTGGTGTTGCTCACTCCATATATTAATATATCCCTTTCAAACAAAAAGGAAACACCTACCAGCGCTTGTTGTGTTGCTATAGAAACTGATGAAACTTCCGTTTTTGCAGCAATCCTTCTTTGAATTAATTGACAGAGTTCAGTGAGAGTGGCCGGGGCTGACCGAACATTTTGATCAATAGGAGTTACTGGACGCTTTAGCTGAAACACTTCAAGGACATAATCAAAACTGGATACAACCAATAACAAACCACACAAACTAAGTCCTACAAAGACGCTCTGTCTTTGCGATATCCTATAAATACTGCATGTCTATTTGAGTACTGGTTTGATATTGGTACCTTTCAGTGAGTGTTTTAAGGCATTAACATGTTACACTGCTCCGTTTGCATGTTCTTCGCTCAAGCAAAGAAGTCTATGCATTTTTACACAGCACATGAGAACTCAAGTTAAGTTTAAAAACTTTAATGGAGTACCTGATTCACACTGGTTACATTTGGTAAATTAAAACCACCTGTTAAATCAACTACCTTGAACAAACAATTTATACATCGATATGATTCAAAATTTATTCATGATATACTTTGCCTATAATTTTTAGAATTCTTATTTACGTTTACATACCTCTTAACAGATTGATAACTTTGGGTTGGGTATATTGCTGGAGGTTTCATTACAGGACATCTTGCCTCTAATCATTCTGCCCCAATTGTCTTGATATTGTTGACCTACTATGGCTTTCTTCATGGTAACCTGGTTTTCTATGTCAATTGGAATGTGAATAGACACCTCATTACTGACTGGTAACTCCAAAAACACTCCACTGGCTGTCAAATGCTGGCTAGGTGCATTAGCCTTGGTAAATGCTGGGTAACAGCGATTGGGTCGGGCGTAGTTGGGTCTGGGTGGGATGCTTTTGGAGGATTGGTGCAGACTCAATGGACCAAGTGGCCTGATTCTGCACTATAGATATTCTATGATGCTGTTTACCTGTAGCCCGAGTCTACTTAGTTTTAATGAATAGTGATTCTTGCTCAGTACAGAAACCTAATGTGTATTTTCTATCCGGCTACGTTTGAAAGTAAGGTAAACTGGGAAACATTTAAAATCTTTTAACTTCTGTGACAACTCCAAGAAAGTGGTACCTGATTTCCAGTGTACTACCCCAGTGAATCTTAACATTATGGCAACTTGCTTGACATCAGGAATATGCTTTTAAAATAATTTTTCGTAATGCATGTTTCAAATCTAATATTTTAGTAAGCAATGATTCTCTTGACAATACGAAAACTCAGATTTGGGTCCTAACATTTGGTTGGTTAATAAACTATTCTCAAAAGTATTCCTGGAGAGATATTACCTTCAATTCTAAATGATCCAGTGACCACAATACTCCTTGTTAAAACAAATAACAAATTAATTACCCAGAGTATCACCTACTGTTTCTAAAGCAACAGGCCTACACCATTTGAAATGTCTGATGTGCTCAGAATCAGTTTTGGCTATGATGTCCTCCACAATCCAATAACCTTTCTAATGAGACAATGAGTCTCCAGTTCATAATGAGCACTGAAGAATGAACAGCTTTCTTCCACGGCAGTTTCGGGTAGGCAAATTTTAAGTAAAGTTGCACTGAATTGCTGAATTCCATTATAAAACACTTTGGGGCCAGATTTTTACTGCCAAAGCAGGTAGCTTAATTCAGGGAGTTTTCTAACTTGGTAAACATGCTAGGATTCAAATGGTCCCTTTGGGTTCAATTTTGACTCTGGGGAGAAAGACTGGTTAGAAGGCTTGATTCAGTCCACTTTGTCCAGCTGTTTTAGAAGCTGTTTTGGCTTCCAGCACATGACATTCATAACTCCTCACCACTCACAAACCTGTAACTTTGATGGCTCCCCAACACCCTACCATGACCCACCTTACTTCCATAACAACTCATGCCCTTCATAACCCATGCCACCTCTATGGCTACTCATGAACTCCAATCACCCCAGTCCCTCATACTCCCAAGTCACTTCCATGCCAACTCAAGCACTTTAATTGCTCTCATATCAAACCACCCTCCAGCATATAAATTACGATTCATTCAGTATTCATCTGGAGCCATGGGGAGATGAAAAACAATACCTTTTTATTCACTGGATGCAAGTGCTGCTGGCTCAGCTAGCATTTACTACTCAATCCTAATTAATTAATTAGGTTCAGTTAAGAGTTAAGTTGGTTGAGGTTCAATGAGCCAAATGGTCCCTTTCTGCACCATATTATTCTAACTGCTTACCAGATGCTTGAGTCTAATTACTTTTAATGATTGTGATTCATGTCATCACAGAAATCCAGGGTCTGTACTTTCTATCAGGCATAGTGTTGTTGGTGTGCAGTCTCGTGTTGCTCAGAGAAGGTAAGGATGGCAGATTTCCTTTCCCAAAGGACATTAATGAACCAGGTGGGTTTTTATGATACATGTTCACCATTGGGCCCATTTTTCATAGTAGATTTTATTGAATTTCAAATTTCACTATCTTCCATGGTGGGATTTGAATCTTTGTCTCCAGAACATCAATATGGGGATGTGGTTTGCAATCCACTGGTATTATCACTACACTATTCATCTCCTTCTGCCAATCTTTCCATCTTTCATTCCTACACACTTCATCGTGAAAAAATCCTCCATTTAATAAACTCATTCAAAGTTCTTAAATCTTAAGTGGTTAATCTTTTGTTTTAGAACATTCCTTTCATTGCCCCTAAAGTGTCAACGTGTGAACACAAAACCCCCAATGAGATCATTGTAACCAGGCAGTTTAGAAAGAACATTGGTGACAACACTTCATAAGTGTTTCATTGCTTTGGGACATCCTGACATCATGAGAAAGGTATTTACCAATACAAATATATTTTTTGTTCCTAACCTCATCCAGATTTCCACAATGCCTTACAGAAATAAAAAGGAATGAAGATAATTTCTGCCATACTTCCAAAATATGGTTCCATCACAAAGACGAAAGGAAATAGTTGCAGAAACAGATACTTATTAAGCCTTAATATCATGTAGGGGTACCTGGAGGTTTTTCTTCAGTAGGAGCAGCTGGGAAGAGACTTAGAGGTTCCAGCATGTCTTTATATCGTTGGTGTAGTTCCTTAGCTGCAGCTGTGCTTCGCACCATAGTGCTTGAACCATTTTTATTTGATAGCTTCTTGCTTTTATTTTCCATAACAGTTACACCAAGGCATTTGGTCATCATTGTAGGAAATCACTGTCAAAAGAACATAACCAGAATGTATTTCACATAAATTTCGCAATTTAGCAATTTAAAAAAAGTAAAATATTCAGCCTCATGTTCACACAATCCACAGGTACATCAGTAATACTCAGCTCTATTTTTCACCATCCTCAACTTGAATTGCAATCTCTGACTATTGTTGAACTTTGCTATACCTGAATTCTATCAAACTACACAGTTCATCATGGCAAAACTGAAGCAATGACAAGATCTGTTTCAGGACTTGAACACACATCTAGGTTGATACTGAATGAATGGTGCAATTTCTGAAGTGCTATTGTCCAAGAGAAACTTTAAGCTGACAGCCATCTTATTGTTCATATGGATATAAAAGATTCTATAAAATTATTGAAGAAAAGTACGGGATAGCCACCATAGATCTGGCCAATGTCTATTTTTCCACACCTACGTCAAAACAGATTAACTGGTCATGGCTCCTTGTCATTTGTTGGACCCAGTGTATTAACTTCAAAATTTCTCTCTTTGTAAACCTCACCATGGCTTTGCCCACTTTAACTCTGCAACTTCTTCCAAAGCATGCCCTGCAATTTTCCAACTCTAGTTTCCTTCTTTACAGGACATTTGGCGACAGCTCTGGTACTAGATTCTTAATCTATTTTAACCACATTTCCTAAACTATGAAACATGCTTCTCAACACTTTCAGTTTTATTATCATTCACCCTTCTACTCAAAAGCTACTACATTGACCATACCTTAAATCAACACCACATTTTATACCGCTGCTCTCTGTTCCTAATACTGTAGAGTGCCTTGAGATGTTTACCACATCAAAAGTAAATGCAAGTTGCTCGTGTCGGACGTGAGAAAAGTTTAGAAATTATTTGTCCCTTCCAACCTTGTTTTTTTCAAATCACATATCATACATCAATAGAAATTCCACCAACGCCTCTTCTTTTGCAATGCCAATCTAGCTTTTTTTTTATGGGCTACAGGTGTCCTGATAAGGACGGAATTTGTTGCTCATCCCAACTGCATTGAGAAGTGATGGAAGGCTGTTTAATTGAGTTGGTGCAGTAAATACAGTACAGGTACACATGAGTGCTACTGGGAAGCAAATTTCAGGATTTTGATCCCAAGACTGTGAAGGAATGTCGGTATGGTTCTAACTCACTAATGTGCTGCTTGGAGAGAAATTCACAGATGGTGTTGCATATGTTGTCCTTGTCTTTCATCATGCTAGAGATCATGGGTGGTGCTGTCAAAAGAACGCAGCTAAAGAACTTGATGAGTTGCTGCAGGGAATCTTGAATATTGTACAAACAGCTGCCTCTGTGTGCAGTGGCGGAAAGGTGAATGAATTTTGATTTGAGGGATAATGCTGATCAAGTTAACTGCTTTGTCCTGAATGTTGTTAAGCTTTTTGAATGTTTCTAGATGTGTATTCCATGCAAATGAAGAGTATTACACTTCTTAATTGTGCTTTTTAGATGGCAGACAGGCTTTGGAGAATCAGGAGGTGAGTTACTCACCTCAGAATTCCTAACTTTTATAGAATCCCTACAGTGTGGAAACAGGCCCTTCAGCCCAACAAGTCCACACCGACCCTCAGAGAATCCCACCCAGACCCATCCACCTAATCTACACATCCCTGAACATTATAGGCAATTTAGCATGGCCAATCCATCTAGCCTGCACATCTTTGGACTGTGGGAGGAAACTGGAGCACCCGGACGAAACCCACGCAGACATGGGGAGAACGTGCAAACTCCACACAGTCGCCAGAGGGTGGGATCGAACCTGGGTCCCTGGTGCTGTGAGGCAGTAATGCTAACCACTGAGCCACTGTGCCGCCGAACTTCTTGATCTGGTCTTCTAGCAGGTTCTAGTTCAATTTCTTGTCAATGGTAACTGCCAGGATTTTGATAGTGGGTGATTCAGAAATGGTAACGCAACTGAACATTAAGATGCCGTGGTTAGATTATCTCTTGTTTAAGACAGTTATTTCCTGGCACTTGTGTAGCACAATGTTACTTGCCACTTGTCAACCCAAGCCTGAATGTTATCCAAGTTTTGCTGCATATTGGCATGGATGCTTCAGTATCTGAGGAGTTGTGAATGGTATTAAGCATTATACAATCATCACCAATCATCCCCAGCTGAAAATGGATGAACCTAAAGAATTCCTGCAGCAGTGTCCTGGACCTGATACACATGGACTCCAACACTCATAACCATCTTCCTTTCTCACAGATAGTATTCATACCAGTGGAGACCTTTCCCTCATGATTCCCATTTCCTGCAGTTTGCCAGGGTTCTTTAATTACACACTCAGTCAAGTGCTGCCTTGATGTGAAGAACAGCAACAATCCCAGCTCATGAGTTCAGCAATTTATCTATTTTTGAATCAAGGCTGTAATGACACCATTGGGCCTTGTGGCACGCAAATTGTGAATCAGTGAGCTATCCCTATGTAAATGTCACTTGATAACATTGTCAACAACACATTCCATTACTGTGATGATAGAGATGAGGTTGACAGGGCAGTAACTGGCCATATTGGATTTATTCTGCATTTGCTGTACAGGACATACTTAGGCAATTTTCCACAACTTCTGTTGGGTAAATGTCAGTGTCGCAGTTTAACAGTAAAAGATGCACAGACATTTCTTATGACAACTAATTGTCCAATATCACTTCCAAAATCAATTAATGAACATGTAAACGAAAATATTATGAATGCTATTCAATAAACATGCTGTGTATGAGACTGTTAGTTGCTACAGTATTCTTACCATTTCAAAATCACTACTAATTTTGTAAAGCATTAGATGTGTGAAGTATGTTTCTGAAAATCTAGGAAGTGCGAAGTTTAATCTGGTAATAATTTAACAAATGTAACGTTCAAGGATCATAAAATGCATGGGAACCAATTTATAGTTAATACACTGACTATATAAGTAAATATAAGCAGTGCACTAATGTCTATCAATCAATATGCATACTTTAGTACAGAAACAGTAAATATAGAGCTGACTATAGATAATAGGGTCGAAATGTTTATTCCTAGCGATCAAATTAGACATGATCATTGCAATCACGCCACAAACTTCCAACTGTCTTTGTTGCGCATTGTGGATATCATCACCAAACTAACTTTGGGAAGCCTCTTACTCCTCATTCATCTTCACAGCTACACACAACCGAGAATAAAGGTAGGAAAGGACCACCCCCGCCCCCTCACCTGAGTGTGTACGAAGCACACAGGCTCTCAATCCATGGTGTAAAGATGATGCTAGCCCATTCCCCTTCTCCCTCTGCACTTGAGGCAGGAACCCTTCACTCAGCTTTTTCCACCAGTCTGCCTCCGCCGCCCCATTCTCCGCCTTTGCGGCGGAGGGATCCCAACCAGTGCGAGCCGCCCGGTTGCCGGGTGACGGCCGTATACAGTGCGCGAGGCTGCCAATCATTCACGTGAAAGGAGGGCCGCAGGTGAGAGCAGGTAACACATGGAGACATGTCCCTGGTCTCACTTATAACTCACTGCTCTGCATTGACCCTTGTGGAAGTCGAGTTTTAATGTGGCACAATACAGAGGGACTCGTGGGCGTGCACACCCAACTGCCTTGGCCAGAAAAGGAGTTGGGGCTTGGTTTCTTGGGGTAGACCTCATCTCCACTGGAGGTGCGTATTACCCGCAATATGTCCACTGTCACTTTAGCGGTGTTTGTTCAAGTAGGGAATACCTTGACCCATTTGCTAAAAATACCCCCGATGACTAGGATATACTTATATTTTCTTTTAAAGGATGGTAGTGGGCCGACGTTATCCATTTGAAGATCAGTCCACTGTCCGGTTACTGGCCCAATATTCCTTAACTCTCCTTCATTGGCATAGTTGTCTCATTTGTTCTGGGCACAGATGATACAATTTTGAACATAATGTTTTATGTCTTTTCCCATTTCTGGCTATCTACATGATCCCTTCATTCTGTCAGTCATGGAGTCTATCCCTTAATGACCCTGAAATCTGTGGCATTGATAAATCACCTACTTTTGGTTCTGGACCGGTACCACGGACCATCCACCTTTGAGAAAGGGTTCATCGTTGGTATTTAACTTGTCCTCCCACAAGCTGTATGAGATGGGGATCGTTACCTCCTGTACAAGTTTTAACTCAGCATTGTTGCTGTAAGCCTGTACCAGATCTTAGAACTTGATTTGGCACACAGCAGCAGCAACTATTTGTTCTAGAATGGGGCGCATTGCCTTGGTTCTCCTTCAAGAGCACCCTGCTTAGCCAATTCATCTGTGCTTATGTTCCCAGTTGGGGAAGTTCAGTGGTAGGCACTTTAACACACCTTAACAATGGCATATTTGTGGTCTTGGGCAATTTGGAGAATAAATTTGATTGGGGGTGCATATGGTAATGGTTTCACACCTGCTGAGACGAATTCTGTAGCTTCAAACAATGGCAGGAAGTCAGTTAAACCATTGCAGACCTACCTGCTGTCTAGAATGTATGTCTGCTGGTGGGGGAAAGTTTCCAGGATGGCTGACCACGTGGGTTATAGCTGCGATCTCAGCAACTTGATCATTTTGTTGCAGAGCTTCAGTGCTAACTTTGTTAAGAGTTTGCCTCTGTGGTTCTCTATATATTTGCCACATCCTGTCTTTCAGTCTCCATCCTTCAGTGTAGAGGATCAGCCTTCGCGTATTCTTAACGGTGGTGGGGTAGGTGGGGGACAATGTCTCTCTTCTACTCCCCAGATTCACTTGGGTTTTCCCTCATTTTGCTTCAGAGCAAATGGTCCATTGGTCCTATTACATGACAGCTCAAATTGTTGGCTAGGAAAGTGGGCACTTTGGTACATTTGGCCACAATGTTGTGACCCTGTAACATTAGGGTCCAGTGCACTATGTAGTTTTGGCTGACTGTACTGTCTTTCATCTGGCCATCCAGAAAAAGTTGAATGGGGTGTGCTCCATCAGAATGGTTAGGAACTTCAGACCGATAATATAGTCAAAACTTTGTACCGTCCAGAACCCAGCTAGCAAGTGCATCTGTCTTGTGGAGAAGCCCTGATCTATTGGTGAAAGAGTCCAGCAGGCATGATTACCAGTTCGCGTTTATTGTGTTGTTCTTGGAGAAGTACAGCTGCCAGTGTGTGCAACTTCCAAAGCAAAGGGAAGTTCTCGGTCAAATACCTGCGGGCCTGTCCTAGGGCCTGTTTTAATTCGTAGCAGCATCCATGTGCTCCTCAGTCCATTTCCATGGAGCATTCCTTTTAAGGAGGCCAGAGAATGGGGCAGCTTTAGTGTCAAAACCGTCAATATGGTGCTGACAGTATCCCACTAAGTCCAGAAAGGAATGAAATGAGCTCACTTTCCTGGGGAGGGGCAAACAGATGATGGCCTTGATGCGCTTCCCTTCAATCACAGTTACCAAGTCTGAGACCTGGAACCTCATGATTTGTGCCTTCTTGAGGTTAACTTTTAGTGCTAGGATGTTGAGGAGGGTTAACAGTTCCTTTAACAGTGTCAAATGTTCAGTCTTTGTTTCTTGTCTGCAGGAGGAGATTGTCCATGTACTGTACCAAAGAGTGATTGTCTTTTTCACAGTCATTTTGGAGGGCATTAGTGATAATAACATCTAATTTGGTACTTTGGTTGAGGAGAAAATATGATTGGAGGAATTCAAACATAGACTTCCAGACAAAATGAAATGCATTAAATGAAATGAGGTAGAAGCTTCGTCACTCAGATTGTGTGTGGGCTTTAGTATCAGCAGATAATTAAAGTGCAGCAGCAATATCTAACTCATCTTATTTAGCTTTGCTCTATAAGTATTAGGATTGAATAAATGTTATCGAGTAATACAGCACAGAAACAGACCCTTTGGTCCAACTCATCCATGCTGACTAGATATCCTAAACTGATCTAGTCCCATTTGCCAGCATTTGTCCCATATCCCTTAAGACCCTTCCTATTCATACAATATTTAAAAGGCATGTGAATGAGTGTAATTGTAGCCACCTCCACCACTCCTTCTGGCAGCTCATTCCATACACGCACCACCCTCTGTGTGAAAAAGTTGCCCCTTAAGTCCCTTTCAAACCTTTCCCCTCTCACCCTAAATCTATGCCCTCTCATTTTGGACTCCTCTATCCTGGGCAAAAGAGCTTGGCTATGCACCCTATTCGTGCCTCTCACAATTTGATAAATCTCTATAAGCCTCCGACATTCCAGGGAAAAGCCCCCCAGCTATTCTACACTACACACGTGGTAGTTCAGTGGTTAGCACTGCTGCCTCACAATGCCATGGACCTGGGTTTGATTCCACCCTCAAGCAACCTTCAGTATGGAGTTTGCACATTTCTCCCCATGTGCTTTGGTTTTCTCCCACAGTCCAAAGATGTGCAGATTAGGTGGATTGGTCATTCTAAATTGCCCATACTTCCAGGGATGTGCAGGCTAGGTGGATTAGTCATGGGAAATGCAGGGTTACAGGGATGGAGTGTGTCTGGGTGAGAAGCTCTCCAGAGCGTTGGTGTGGACTCAATGGCCTGAGTGACCTGTTTCCACACTGTAGGGATTCTTTGATTCTATTCAGCCTCTCCCAATAGCTCAAACCCTCCAATCCTGGCAACATCCTTGTAAATCTCTGAACCCTTTCAAGTTTAACAACATCTTTCCTATGGCAGAGAGACCAGAATTGAATACAGTATGCTAAGATTGGCCTTACCTTAGTAGGGGAGGCAATGGCCTAATGGTATTATCACTGGACTGTTAATCCAGAGACCCAGATAACATTCTGGGGTAGTAGGAACTGCAGATGCTGGAGAATCTGAGATAACAAGGTGTAGAGCTGGATGAACACTGCAGACCAAGCAGCATCAGAGGAGCAGGAACGTCAGCTTTCCTGCTCCTCTGATGCTGCTTGGTCTGCAGTGTTCATCTGGCTCTACACCTTGTTATCTACCATTCTGGGGACCCAGGTTCAAATCCCATCACTGCAGATGGTGGAATTTGAATTCAATAAAATATGTGGAATTAAGAATCTAATGATGACCATGAATCCATTGCCGATTATTGGAAAAACCCACGTGGTTCACTAATGCCCTTTAGGGAAGGAAACTGCCATCCTTACCTGGTCTGGCCTACATGTGACTCCAGACCCACAGCAATGTGGTTGACTCTCAACTGCCCTCAGGGCATTTAGGGATGGACAATAAATGCTGCCTAGCCAGTGACCTCCTCATCCTGTTAATGAATAAAGGAAATAAAAACCAATGTCTTGTACAGCTGCAACATGACACGCCAATTCCTATACCCAATGCACTAACCACTGAAGGCAAGTGTGGTAAACACTTCCTTCACCATCCTGTCTTCCTATGACTCCACTTTCAAGGAACTATGCACCTACACCCCTAGGTCTCTTTGTTCAGCAACACTCCCCAGGGCACTACCATTAAGTATACAAGTCCTGCCCTAACTTGCCTTATCAAAATGCAACACCTCACATTTATCTAAATTAAACTCCATCTGCCACTCCTCGGCCCATTGTCCCATTTGTACTCTGAGATAACCTTCACTGTCCACTACACCACCAATTTTGGTGTCATCTGCAAACTTACTAACCATGCCTCCTATATTCACATCCAAATCATTTATATAAATGACAAAACAAAACAAAAAAAAAATCAGTGGATCCAGCACCGATCCTTGCAGTACACTGGTGGTCACAGGCATCCAGTCTGGAAAACACCCTCCACCACTACCCTCTGTATCCTACCTTCAAGCCAATTTTGTATCCAGTTGGCTAGTTCCCCCTGGATTCCATGTGATCTAACCTTGCTAACTAATCTACCATGTGGAACACTTGAATGCCTTGCTGAACTCCATATAGATAATGTGTACTACTCTGCCTTCATCAATCATCTTTGTCACTTCTTCAAAAAACTCAGTGAGACATTATTTCCCATTCACAAAGCCATATTGACTATCCCTAATCAGTCTGTGGCTTTCCAGATGCGTGTAAATCCTGTCCTTCAGAACCTGCTCCAATAACTTGCCCATCACTGATGTCAGGCTCACCAGTCTACAGTTTCCTGACTTTTCCTTACCATCTTTCTTAACAGCATAATATTAGCCAACCTCCAGTCTTCTGGCACCTCACTCGTGGCTATTCATATACAAATATCTCAGCAAGGAGCCCAGCAATCTCTTCGCTAGTTTTCCACAAAGTTCTGGGATACACCTCATCAGGTCCTGAGGATTTATCCACCTTTGTGTTTTAAGACATCCAGCACCTCCAGTTCTGTAATTTATTTTCTTTATTCTTTTCAAG